AGTCTCATCTCTGAGACTAAGAGTAATCATTAAGGTCCTAACTATGCCTGTCCTAGGCCTACCTTTGGTGTAAAGTAAAGAGGGCACTAAATTTGGAGTGAGAGGACCCGAGTTTGAGTCTTGGTTCTGCTGTTTATTACTTCTGTGACGAACTTGGACTCTTCTCATGTTTGGGCCTTAGTTTACTCTTCTGGAAAATGAGCAGGTTGGATTAGATGCTTTCTAGGGTCTCTTTCTGTTTTAAATCATAGGATCCTGTGATCCTCACTGTCTAGGCTTCTTCCTTTCTCCTGGCTTCTGCCTCAGGCTCTCATTAGGCTTTCTACCTAGAGTCATAAGACCTGAGAGCCAGACTTCATAGAAGGGGGAGCTCAGAGGACATTTCATTTAGCCACTTATTCCCTGGAGGTTCTCTCCAGTAGCACCCCTGAGAAGTGATCATCCAGCTTCAGTGTAGACACTGCTGACAATGGAGTATTCACTTTTTCATAAAGGAACCCATTTTTATTTTTCTACTTTTGCACAACTGAGATTTTAGAGAAGGTTTTTCTTTCTGTTGAGTGCAAATCTATCTTCCTGTAATTTTTACCTATTGATTCTAGGCCTGCTCTCTAGAACATAAAAACTCATAGAAATAGGGTATACCAATCCATATACAAAGATTCCTGCAGCTGCATGCTGACTTAATTTTTAAATGCATTGTTATTTGTGTTTTATTGAATTTTTATTCATTTTGTCAAATATTTTCCCAATTATATTTTAATCTGGTTGAGGAAGCATTCAGAAGTGTTGTGGGCCCTGTTTGTGTTTGACACCTTTTTGTAGCTTCCTTTCTCCTATTAATGCTTCACATAAATATCTATTTTATTTTTGAAACTCTGTCCTTGCTTTTGGACCAAGCACTTTTATGTCCTCATCCTGTTCTGCTGCTGGCCCTGGATGGTTTGGAGGATAGATGGGCACAACCCTAGATAAGACCCCAAACTGACTTCATTTAGGTAGAGCAAACTTGTGCTTTCTAGGTAAGACACTCACTCCTCTTAAGGTACTTTTTCCCTTCTTTTTAAAAAGTTTTATTGGTGCCTTTAAAAAAAAACACCAGTCATTAATTTTTTTTAATTTTAATTTTTTAATATTCCCTTAATGTCCCCCCACAGCAAACCCTCCCTTATAACAAAGAAAAAGGGTCAAGAAAAACCAATTAACAGGATAGATAACTAAGGTGTTCACCTAAATGGGATGTGAATCTATTAATCAACAAACATTTATTATGTGCCTGCTCTAGTCCCTTGGATATACAAAAACAAAGTCAGATGTCCCAAAATTTCAGGGAATTTATTTTATTCTAAAGATGAACCATGATATCCAGGATAGTTGAAGCAATTCACAGCTCTACCTGAATTGCATTAATTAGTGTACCTGTCATCCCACAGCCCCTTGCTGAACGAGGGAAGAGGCGGTTGTGGAAGGAATTTGTTTTTTGTAAAGATTGTTATTCAGTTATTTTTTAGTCATGTCTTACTCCAGTTCATTTTACAGATGAGGAAACTGAGGCAAACAGGGTTAAGTGACTTGCCCAGGGTCACACAGCTAGCAAGTGTCTGAGACCAGATTTGAACTTAGGAAGTTGAATCTTCTTTACTTCAGGCCTGTCACTCTATCCACTGTACCACCTAGCTCTTTTTTGTAAAGATAATTGCAGCTAAAATAATATAGGGTGAATATATAGAAATTGTGGGGAATAGGGCTGTTTCCTTGCGACTACTGCCTTGTAGGTGGGAATATGCCTTATTTTCAGCAGATGCCCTGGACTGAGTTAGTAGGATGTGCTTACCTGTGAGGTGAGGACCTGAACAATTCCAGGGTTTCAGAACCAACCCAAACGTGTTCTGTCTCTATCCCTTGCCTCCTAACTATTCTCTATCCTTCCACCTTTTTCTGGCCAAATGGTTCTAGTTACTTCAACCATTCTTTGTGTGACATTGTTTTTAGTTGCTCTGTTTTTATAGTTACCCTTCTCTAGAAATGATTTCTAATTTGTTGATAATCCCCTCCCCCCAATTATGGTACCCAGAACTGAATAAAGCACTTTGGGTGTGTTCTGGACCCGCCATCTTATAACCACAGAATCTCGGAGTTGGAAGAAACCTTCGGGGATATCTAGTTTTGTGACTGCACAAGAATCCTCATAAGCTATCTCTGATAAGTGGTTATCTAACTTTGCTTAATAACCTTTGGTGAACCAGAAGTCACTATTCTGTCTAAGGAGCTGAATTCTATTTTTACACATTTTTAATCCCTAAGTTTTCCCCAATATCTGCCTCTGCAATGTCTACCCATTGCTCAAATCCCACTTCTGCATAACAGCCCTTCAAATACTGAACAGACAGTTCTCTTTGTCTCTCCGTCTCCTGCCTCCAGTCCATGCTGGTATTTCCCCGTAACTCTCCATGTGACTTATATAGTAGCACAGTACTCTTGGATTTGGGGCCCAGGTCACTCCTCCAGCTTCAGGTATAGCTACCCCTATTACCTTTTTGTGCTCTGTAATGTCCCAACCTGTGCCTGCTGGGTCTTTCCCCTTGTCTCATTTTAACCCAGATGAGCTCTCTCTGCCTTTCCGAGCTCCATCACTACACTAGCCACTAGAGCCATCTTATCCCTGACTCGTTCTTACAGGTGTTAATAAACCTGCTTTCCTTGGTAGTTTCATCCACACAAAGTTGGAGCTTTTCAGAAGGAATTTAACTGGATAAGCTATGTGTAGGTTCCCAACCTTCCCTTTGTCTACTTTCTTTTCTATTTCCTGTTGACAGTGACTAATGGGGCACTTTACACATACGATCTCATTTGATCCTGAAAGCAGGGGCCATGCTCTGTGTCTTCGTGCATCCCTTACCATGCCCACCACATGGTAGGTACTTGGTGAAAGTTGATGGGTTGATTTTTCCCTTGTGGAGAAGGCTCAAACACAGTGGCTATGTGGAGACTTAACTTAGCTTGTCTTATGGGGATCGGGATTGCAGAACATTGGAAATATTGAAGAGGGTTAAGTTTTTTTTTTCTTTTTGGTGAGGCAGTGAGGTTTAAGTGACTTGCCCAGGGTCATACAGCTAGTAAGTGTCAAGTGTCTGAGGCTGGATTTGAACTCAGGTCCTCCTGACTCCAAGGCCAGAGCTCTATCCATTGTGCCACCTAGCTGCCCCCCCAGAGGGTAAGTTTTACAGAGCATAGTTCTTCAATCCAAATTTAATTCAAACCCAAATCATAGCAGGTTTGCTTCACACAATTTAGGGGCATCCCAGTTCTGCTTGCCATGACTTAGAAAAATGAGAATGACATGGTAATGCCTCCTTCTTGGTGATTAAATATAGGAGTTTTGTCATAATCCGTCTAATGTCTCCTGGGTTGATGTTAAAACTGTCTTTTTGTACTCCCTCCCTCATTTCTGCCAGCTCATCTTTCATGTCAGCATATAATTCAGAAAGGAAAGCCAACAATTTGTCTTATGGATGCTGCCATCAACCATCAGAGTACCACTTGACTGTGAGCTCCTTGAGATCAGGGACTGTTTTTGCCTTTCTTTGTATCCCCAGTACTTAGTACAATGCTTGACACATAGTAGGCATTTTCTAAATGCTTGCTGACTGATAAAGAAACTAAGGCCAGCAATGTACTCTACACTTTGCACCTTTAGTACCTCACCTTTCTGTGAGGAGGAGGGACATGTGTTTTGTCATTTGTTCTATGGGACCAAGATTTTTCATTGCAGTTAATCAGAGCTCAGCTGTTTTTATTGTTATTTTCATATATCCCATTGTGATCATTGTATGTATTGTTCTCTTGGTTTGTGGTTTCTTTGCTTTATTTACACCCAGCAAATGACAGAGCAATGCTACTACTGGGCATATACTCACTTCAGGAAGTCAATGATAAATGGGTTATATTCAATAGCAGTGTTCTTGGTGGTAACAAAATTGGAAACAAAGCAATTTTACATCAATTGGGGAGTGGCTGAACATACTATGGTATATGAATGTGAAGGAACAGTATTTACCATAAGAAATGACAATGCCACTACTCCATGAGGTGCTAATATGACACATGAAGTCCTGCAGATAGTTGGAGATGTAGGTCAGGAGCTCAAGGGAGAGATTCTGACTAGAGACAATTGCATTTAGTTGATATTTGAATCCCTGGGGTGAAATTAGATCACCAAGGAAAAGAGTACATCAAGAAACAAGGTCCAGGTGAGAGTTTTGGGAGCTCCCACACATAAGGATCATGAAAAAGATGATGAACCCTCAAGGGAGATGGAGAAATAGCAACCAGGTAGGAGAACCATGTAATGCCTTGAAATTTGGGGGAGATAAAAGATAATCAAGAAGGAGGTGGGGTCAATAGTATTATGCTATGGACAAATCCCAGAAGAGTAGGTCTGAAAAAAAGGGGATTGACTTTGACAATGAAGAGATCATTGGTCACCGTGGAGAGAGCGGTTTTCTATGGAGTGGTGGGCTAAGGAGCTAAAATGAATGTGTGGTGAGGAAGTTGAAAAAATAAGTGTAATCTGTTCTTTCTAGAAGTTTATACATGAAGGGGAGGAGAGATTTAGAGTGATAGCTTGAAGGTATGCAAGATTAAAGGAAAGATTTTTTTTAGGGTAGTGGAGACTTGAATATAATAATAATAATAGCCTGCATTTATATAGTGCCTGCTATGTACTAGGCACTATGCTAAGCACTTTACAAATATTATCTCATTCAATCCTGAGGGCAGGGACCTTACCCTGTGTCATCTTGCATCCCTTAACATGCCCAGCACATGGCAGGTACTTGGGGAAAGTTTATTGACTGAGTTTTTTCTCATGGAGAAGGCTCAAACACAGTGGTCATATAAAAACCTAACTTGGCTGTTAGTCAGTGTCAGTAGTGAAATACCGTCCCTTGGAGATGGGGACTGGGAAACTTACAAAGGTACTTTCATCTGTTTCTTTTCAGTATCAGCTTTAGAGAACTGAAGAACATTCTTCCCTTAGTAAACTTCAAAGTTAGCAGTGCCAAGTTCCTGAAAGACAAATTCCTGGTAAGTTATGGAACTGCCTTCCCAGTTTGCTGACCTTGAGGTGAATGCTTTGCCTGGGGTGAGCTCCGACTCCTGCTTCCAGAGGCTTTGGTTCAGCACTCACACTCAAAATGTTTGTAAAGCAAACTAGAAGGCCTCTTTAGTTCTTGATTTATTATCTGTCTCTGCCCTGAAGTGCCTCAGAGAAACTTCAGAGTTGAGTAATTTGCTTTGAGGACACAGTGGTCACTGGGCTGTTTTGCCCTGGACTTCTTAAACAGGGCCTGTTTCCCACTTTCTCGGCTATTCTGGCCAGAGTTCTGGACCTGATTTGCTTTAGTCTTTGCAAAAACATTCTTTTGAAAAGCAATGAAATAATTATGAAAGCATTACTTATACCTGTGCAGCCATGAGAGCCATGCAGCCAGTGAGATTGAGCTCTCTCATCCAATTCTTCAAAGCGCCAGCATTAGGGCTGATCTCAATGGAACTTTATTTTTAGCAACATGAGCTCAAGCCATGGAGGTTTTGTCACACATTAAGAGCAACCGAGTAAACTCCTAACTGGTCTCCCTGCACCCACTCTCTCTTCCCTCAAGTCCATCCTTTACTCAGTGCCCTAATTGATATTCCTAAAGCACAGATCTGCCCATATCAGTCCTGTGCTCAGGAAGCTTCAGTGGCTCCCTATACCTGATAGGATAAAATAGAAACTTCTCTCTTTCTGGCATTGAAAACCTTGCATAATGTGAATCCAGCCTCTCTTTCTAGGTGATTTATACAACATTCATTCTCATGTCAAACATTCTACTGGCCAGCAAACTGGCCTGCTGTTGTTTTCCACACATGCATGATATTCTATTTCTCATGTCCACGATTTTGTCATATGTCTTCTGCCTGGAATGCTGCCCTCTCCCCTATCTCCTTTTGAGGGTTGTCCCAAATACTACTTCCTATAAGAGGCCCTTCCTAATTTTCATTCTCCTCCTATCATCAAAATTATTTTGTATTTAATTTAAATATATTTAGTATTTACTTATCAGTGCTCATGTTGCCTCCTTACCCTAGTAGAATGTAAGCTCATTGTGGGTAGGGACTGTTTCATTTGTCTTTATATCCCCAGTGTTTAGTATAGTGCCTGGCATGTAGTAGATGTTTAATTAATACATGATAATTGAGTTAAATTTCAGTTGATCAAAGGACTCCAGGTACAATTTCCTCTCCTCATAACTAATTTCTGCAGCCTTCCAAGCTCTGGGCCCTGGAGAGGCCAAGTGATGAGTATAGCCTCTCCCCAAATTCTTCCCCCAGGAGCAGTGGGCAGCTTCTCTCATGCTCATTAATGCTAGGGGCAGGTCTAGCACAGGCAGGCCGGTTAGTGTGAATATAGTCACCAACACACTGTAAGCTAAACTTTGCTGTCAGGGATCAGGGGAATTGTGTTTGAGGTGGATCTGGACTGATGGCTTCTACTGTTTTTCTTTCACAGGAAATAGGTGCCTACAAGGATGAACTCAGCTTTGAACAGTTCCACTTATTCTACAAAAAGATGATGTTTGAGCAACAGAAATCAGTAAGAGCAGCCATTATCTGAATGATCATATTATGTTTTCCCTTAATTCTCACTTTAAATTATCTGTTTAGGGTTTTTTTTTTTTTCATCATTCTTGTTTGAAGGCATGGAGGAAGGAATGCCTGAGTTGGGGCAGGGTTGGTCTGGGCACGGTGCTGCAGAGAGAGGCTAAGCAAAGAGGGTCAGGTGACCTGAGGCTCATTTATGCACTCTGTGAAACTTTATTTCCCCAAACTGATGATTTGTATTGTGCTAGTCAGTAATGTGAGGTACAGGCCTGTTGGGTTTAGCAAAAAGCTGACAGAAACTATTTATAAAAATAATTGGTTCTGTTTAAGAAAGTTTATGTGTATGTGTGTGTGTGCACACGTGATGTGTGTTATGTAGACAAATATACAGCTAGACATTTGTTTACAGGAGAGGCCGCATGGCCTAGTGGTTAAAGGGCTTGCTTTGGAGTCAGTCCTGCCTTGGGCATATAAGGGCTCTGTGTGACCAAGGCCAAATCACTTCTCTTCCCAGGATTAAGTCTTTAGTGGATCCATTCAGGACAGTGTCATGATTTTCTTCAGTTTCATTAGGCAGCACATGAAGAAGCTAAGAGAATGGATAGTGGCAGTGATCCAAGGCTGAGGCTTAGCAGGGTGAGATCAGCAATAGCATAAGAGGTGCAGGATTCAAGAAAAGAGGACATTGTAGAGTTGAACCAGTTCACCAAGGGGTAATAATGGGGCAATAGTAGAGGGTAGCTGGTGTAGGGGAGATGGTCTGGGATTGAGAAATTGGAGGTCATAGTGAGGATGAACTACAGGCTATGGGGTTATGAGGCAGAGGGAGAGGTGGAGTATATAATTTGTGATCCGATGAGGGAATTTCAGAATTCATGAATGTGCATTTGTGGATGATGGCAAGATCAAGGCAAGGTCATATTACCATCTCTATGTGTAGTAGAAGTGAGGTAGAGCAGTAGGTCATGGAAAATGAATAAACTGAGGAACTGGAAGGTAAGGGTGTTTGAGGGAGTATCAACATGTATGTTAAAGTCTCCTAATATGAGGGTAGGAGTTAGGGAGGAGAGAAAGACTATGGGCCAGGCATTGAACTCATTGAGGAAAGAAGGGGAATATGCTGGAGGTCGGAAGACAACAACTCCAAGAATTTTGATTGTGTGGTAGATATGGATCAAATGAACCTCAGAGGAGGAAAAGCTACTAAATGATGGTGGTAGATGGTGGGCTTAGAAATAATAAGGGGGAGCAAGGAGTATTCTGATTCTCCCACCTCAACCAGTGAGTTGAGGGATAATGAGAATACAGCTAGTGCTGGAAAGGGAGGCCAGAGAGACTGGGTCATCTGGAGGAAGCCAAGTCTCAGTGAGAGTCAGAAGATGAAAGGAAAAGATTTCACAAGAAAGCTAGTTTGTTACATATGGAACAAGTATTCTAGAGAGCACAATAGAAGGTGTGGATAGAGTAGGGGCTCTTTTATGTGCCCTTTGCAGTCAGTTTGGTAAAGCCTATGGACCCCTTCTCAGAATAAATTTTTTAAGTGTAGAAAATAAAATCCATAGGATTACAAAAGAAGCCAATATGTTGGAATTCAGTTATAAATATTTATAACTATATAAATATTATAAATATTTTTATATATGTATACATATATGAATATACATACATATGAATTTTATGGAATCCAGGTTAAGAACTGCTGTATCACCTGGACTTTTAGGTTTTTAAACAATTATGTAAAACTATGTATTAACAAGATATATACAGGATAAATTGGAGTTATCCATGTGTGACTCAGGTCCTGGTTAATGAAAAAATGAGGATGATTTATCATCGTAAATCATCAAAGCAGCCCCTTAGGTGAAGCTGCTCTCTGTTCACATCTTTTGTTTGGAAAGGGACAGTTGGGTTCTCTTAAGTAGGTAAACAGCCTTCTCTTATCTGTTGACATATTTAGTTACTTAAGATGTTCCTCTTTTTTTTTCTTAAATGATAGCTTAAAGGTGAACTTAAGAATCACAGAGTTGGAAGGATAACCTCAGAGATGATTTAGGCCAACCTGGACCTGAACTCGAGTTTGTCCTACTGCAGTGGTGTCAGACTCAAATAGAAATGGGGCCACTAAACCAAGATCACTAAACTTAAGATCACCAAGATCTTAAGTCCCTGCTTGATGGCATCTATTGTTACTGACCTCTGTGGGAAGGGGTCTACCTCAAGATCTCTGCAAGCTAAATACTGACTTATAAAAAAACCACATATTAACAATATCTACATTTTATAATATTCTTATTTATTTTGTTAAATATTTCTTAGTTACATTTTAATCTGGTTTAGGTCATATACTGGAGTATATTGGGCAACAATGGAGCATCTTTGCTCTGCAGCATCATGCCAAGTGATCATCAAGTGTTTGGTTGAAGACCTGCAGTGAGGGGCTACTCACTACTTTCTTTTTTTCTTTTTTTTTTAAAAACATAATTTTATTTTATTATTTGTTGAATTTTATTTTTTAATTTATGGAATAAAAAAAGCATTTCCTTGACATAGTATAATAAAAAAAGGCAGTTGTACATGAAACTGAAAATCTATCATGCACAACTTAGTATTCCTTTCAAATATACAACAAAATTATCATGTAAATTTTTTTTCTTTTTTCTTCTCTGCTTCCCCCACCATTAGACATAAATAGGTATGCAGATGTAAAATTATTCTATACTCACTACTTTCTGAAACAGCCCATTCCACTGATGCATAGCTCTAATGGTTAAACTACTCCTTATCCTCCACTCATTGGCCCTCTGGGGCCAAGCAAGTCAGCCCTTGAATATAGATATCATGGTGTTAATTGTTTTCTAGTCCCAGACACATCTTCTCTAGTTTAAGCAGCCCTAATTCTTTCAGCTGATCTTTATATAGCATGGTCTCAGGGTCCTCCTTCACTTCACCATCCTGGTTGCCCTTCTTTTTCCTAATATATCTGATCAGGGCATCCTAGTCCAGTTCCAAGTAATTATAACCATGGAGTTCTCCAGTGTGCTTTTTTTTAGTGAGTTGTAGTGGAAGGAAAAGCATAGGTAATTAAAGTCTTAACATAATTCAAACGCCAAAATTTAGCTGACAGTTTCATCTTTTCTTCCATTTACATCTCTAACCTCTTTGAGTATCCCAGCCTCATCATGTCTATCCCTCTTCCTGTGTTGTTGCTAGCAAGCTAGGAAGGGTAACCCAGAGCTCAGTTGGCTCTGGGACCTGTCCACCTCAACTTTTGGTAAGGGTGGGAGTTTCCTGAAACATCTGGGCCAGCCTTGACTTTTTTTGACAGGGCTCCACAGTTGAGTGGATCTGACCCGTAAACCCCCACACATATTGATTTAAAGTATATATGAATGTGTTGAGGAGAGATGCTGAGCTTCAGTTAATTTTTTTTTTTTTTTTAGGCAATTGGGGTTAAGTGATTTGCCCAGGGTCACACAGCTAGTAAGTGACAAGTGTTTGGTCTGAGGCTGGACTTGAACTCTGGTCCTTCTGACTTCAGGTCTGGTGCTCTCTCCACTGCGCCACCTAACTGCCCCTGAGCTTCAGTTAATTTTGAAGAAACCAGGGGAGAGAGACAGGTTTTGCTGGGTAGTACTGGCCCTGCCTCACATCCTCTGGCTTGACTGAGCAGGTCACAGCAGTGTGATTCAGGAATCTACATTTGAATTTCTTGGAAGTATTTCTATAATAGAACATAACAGTAAAACCCTTGTTTCGGAAGACTGGGAGAAAGGTTACAGTGACTTAATGAGAAACCTGATAGGAGAGGGCTTTTTAAAGAAATGTTTGATTACTTACAAACAAGATCTAAAGTAAGATCTAAGTGGGTACTTGTAAGTAACTAGAGGCAAGGACATGAAAAACATTGCAACTTGCAATCAGCCCACATTGCACAATACTGTATCACAGGCATTGGGGAAAAATAACTAACATACTACAAGAATTAATTGCTGGCCCTGCAAGTTTTAGAAACCTGGAAGGAATCTAATTCTTTAAGCCTTAGATATGACAAGTTTGCCGACATTTTAGACTAGGTCCCTTTTACTTAAACCTGGAAAATCTTAGGAGAAAAAAGGCTTTGGTGTTGTAAATGTTTATTTAAGTGGGCTGTGAATTAATGAGCTTTCATTGTAGTGTGATACTGCTATTTTTTATATAACTTACTCTCATCTGGAAGCTTCATTAATCCTTGAAGGGCTCTCTTAGACCTTTGAAGGCCTAGTGCCCAAATTAAAATAGAGATTCTGTTCTGATGTGTTTATTGAAGAAGAAGGTTACTCTTTGCTTGTGCCTTCTAGAGTGAGGTGGAGAGTTGTTTTCAGTTCAGTGACTGAGATCTCCCCCCAAAATATTTGTGAGAGCTTCTAGGTGTACTTCCAGAGTACAACTTAACCATTGGGAGAGGAAGTTATAATATAGTAAGAATGTTACTGGGTTTGGAGTGAGAAGACCTGGTTTGAATCCCAGCTCTGCTGCTCATTAGCCTATGTGACTTTGAGCAAGTTACTTTTCTTCTCTGGGCCTCAGTTTCCTTATCTGTAAAATGGTAATAATAATAATACATGTCTCACTTCATAGGACTCTGGTAGCTGCTATTATTATCATCATTATTATTACTAATTATAGGATAGTAGATTTAGAGCTGCAGGAGACCTTAGAGGTTATCAAGGCCAACCTTTTTGTTTTACAGATTGGAAACCAGAGGCCCACAGAGGGTGAATGACTTGTTCAAGGTTGCATAGGAAATAGAACTGGCATATAAACCTGGGTCTTTGTACTCCAAGGCTAATGCATTTTCTGCTGTAGCATGCTGCCTCTGTCATCACTGGTGTGTTTTTCTCTGTTTCCTGTGGTATTACATAGTTGTATTTGTGAGTCGGCTATGTCTCAGCCGTCATTGGCCTAAGAATTTTTTACACGTCTATGCTTTGCTTCTCCCTTCGTTCTCTTTAAGCAAACTTAGAAATAAACCAGAGCCATGAATGGGGTAGTATGTCGGCTCAATTTTTTTCTTCTATATTTCAGTCATTGAACTCTAGATCTGGGAGATGATCTTAGAGATTTTCTGGTCCAAACCTCTCATCTTACAGAGAAAAAAATGGAAGCCCGGGGTTGGGAAATGATAGTAGCGGAACTGGAATTAAAGCTTTGGCCTCTTACTTAGGCCTCACGCTGCCCCTTAGCTTTGGAACCCTCCAACTGTTCACCACCTTCAGTCCAACAGGCATGCTGCTGAACAAAGGTGGAGAAAATCATACATCTGTTCTGACCAGTTCCACTACAAATTTATGTTATACAGCATCAACTGGGCCCTCACTGCTGCTCGGCAATCCCACTGTACCTACCTTATCAAATCACTATTCCACTCTCCACAGTGGTTCTTCCAAACCTTTTCATTCCTCCTCAAACTTTCCATAGCTCCCTCTTCCCCCCATTCTCTCAGATGAGATCCTTAACTCATATTTCATAGAAAAAAAATTGAGGCCATTCTCTGTGAGCTCCCACTTCTTCCCTCTTCCTCATCTCCTGTCACCCAGGTGCCTTCTGCTACTTTCTCAAGATTAACTCCTTTACCTGTTCAAGTGATCCCATTCCATCTTATTTCCTCCAACAAATTGTCTCCTCTGTCATCCTGACTCTGTCATTTATCTTTAATTTCTCATTCTCTACTGGCTCATTCCCTACTGACTACAAAGATGCTCATGTCTCCACCATTCTGAAAAATCTTCCCTGGATTCTTCCATTTCTGCTAAATGTCCTATATCTCTTCTACCCTTTATGACTAAACTTCTTGAAAAGGTCACCTACAATAGGTGCCTTCATTTTAGCTCCTCTTATGACCTCTGACTTTGCTGTCTCCAAAGTTACCATTGATCTGTTAATTGCCAAGTCCAATGGCTTTTTCTCATTCCTCATTCTTCTTGGCCTTTCTGTAGCCTTTGGTACTGTTGATCATCCTCTTCTTGATAATCTCTTCTCTCTAGGTTTTGGGGACTCCACCATCTCCTGATTCTTCTCCTGCCTGCCTCACCATGCCTTCTCAATCCTCATCGAGGTCATGCTCACTAACCGTGGGTATCCCACAGGGCTCTGTCCTGAGCTGTCTTCTCTTCTCCCTTTATACTGCTTCACTTGGTGATCTCATCAGCTGCCTTGGGTTTAATTATCATGTCTATGCTTATGATTCTCACATCACCCTGTCCGCTTCCAACCTTTCTGCTGACCTACAACCTTGCATTTCTACTTGCCTATTAGATATCTCTAACTAGATGCCTTATAGACATCTTAAACTCAAAATGACCCAAACTGAACTCATTATCTTTCCCTCTAAATCCTCCTCCCCTCCAAACTTCCTTATTACTGTTGAAGGCATTCAGTCAGTAAACATTTATTAAATACCTACTGTGTGCCGGGGGGCAGTTAGGTAGCACAGTGGATAGAGTACTGGGCCTGGAGTCAGGAAGACTCATTTTCCTGAGTTCAAATTTGTCCTCAGACACTTACTAGCTGTGTGACCCTGGGCAAGTCACTTAACCCTGTTTGCTTCAGTTTCCTCATCTGTAAAATGAGCTGGAGTAGGAAATGGCAAATCACTCCAGTATTTTTGACAAGAAAATCCCAAATGGTGTCACAAGGAGTTAGACACAACTGAAAATGACTGAGCAAGACATGTGCCAAGCACTGTGCTAGTAAGTTCTTGGGATAGAAAAAACCAACAAAAAACAAAAAACAGCGCTACCATCCTCCCATTTCCCAAGCTCATAACCCAGGTGTCCTCCTCAGTTATTCACTCTCCTCTCTCTTCTCCCCTTCTCCCCCCCCATATACAATCTCCCCATATACAATCTGTTGGCAAGGCCTGTTGATTTTACCTTGGCAATTTTTCGAATATACCCCCTTCTCTCCCGATACTGCCACTACCCTAGTTCAGGCCCTCCTACTTCAACTGTTGTAATAGCCTTCTATCGGTCTTCCTGCCTCAAGTCTATCCTCACTCTTACCAGTTCTCAGTTCAACTACCAAAGTGATTTCCTTGAAATGCAAGTCCTGCTATGTTATTCTCCTACTCAGTAAATTCTAGTGTCTTCCCATCAGAGGCAGGATCAAATGTAAAATCCTCTGTTTGCTATCCAAAGCCTTTCATAACCTAGGCCTCTTTTCCCCCCACCCTCCTTTCCAGTCTTCTTACATCTTACTCCTTGCCATGTATTTTTTTTTTATTTTTGTTTGTTTTTAGGCAATTGGGATTAAGTGACTTGCCCAGGGTCACACAGCTAGTAAGTGACAAGTGTTTGGTCTGAGGCCGGATTTGAACTCAGGTCCTCCTGACTTCAGGGCCAGTACTCTATCCACTGCGCCACCTAGCTGCCCGCCATGTACTCTTTGATCCAGTGACACTGGCCTCCTGGCTGTTCTATGAACAAGACACTACAAGCTACTCTATTTCTGACTGTTCCCTATATCTTGAATATTCTCCCTCTTCATCTTTACCTTTTAGCTTCCTTGGCCTCCTTCTAGTTCCAACTAAAGTCCTATCTTCTGCTGCAAACCTTTTCCAACCCCTCTTAATTCTGGTACTTTCCCTCTTTTAATTATTTCCTATTTGTTCTGTGTATAGCTGGTTCATATGTGTTTGTTTGTTTGTTGTCTCCCAGTTAGATTGTGATTTTCTTGAAGGCTGGGGCTGTCTTTTGCATTTTTTTTTTTTTTGTGTATCCCCACTGCTTAGCACAATACCCAGCAATAGTAGGTACTTAATAAATGTTTATTGACTGACTGAGCTTGGATCATTTAAAAGAACACTCCACAGTTTAATTTTAGCATTACCATGTGGATTTTGACCTTAAATTAGATACATTTTTTTCTGAAGAGTGGTCATTTGCTTGTATGTAGAACATGCTTATGGGAGTCAAAGCTCCATATTTTCTTAACAAATCAAGCTCTAAATCAAACTGTCAATTTAAACAATGCTGCTTTCTTTTTAGAGCATTGTTTGATTCTCCTGCTCCGGTCCCAGATCTTTGGCAGGGGCAGGGGCAAGAGGGAAGTGAGTTGTCTGAGAAGGCAATTGAATTGATCTGCTATCTGTTCTTTTGCATTGTATGTGTTTATACCTTTGTTTCTGACAAGAATTATTCATTTACTTATCTGAGAGAACAGTAGATATAACTTCCTTTGTTTTTGTCTAGAAACACCAAACACTAGGTCTCCCATTAATTCTGGAGAAGTCTGGAGGTGGGTGTTTAGGAATGGGACTTGGGGAGGGAGCTGTTAAATGCGCACTGTAGGCACTCAGTGTTGGTTTGATTGGATTCCACTGGGACTAGCTGGATTTTGGTGGTCCTTGGTCCCTGGTGAAGCTTGAATTAGTCTAACATATCAAAAGTATATGCCATTAGTTTATGAAAAGACAGGAAGGACAATTGCCAGAAGTTTATCTTCTCTTCAGTTTTAAAGTTAGAAATTAGCCAGTTAAAATATTTAGACATCGATGAAAATATTAATACTCATTGACTAGCACTCAGTTTTTAACACAGCCCTTACTTTTCCTCTTCTTTCTCTTATTTTTCAGATTCTTGATGAGTTCAAAAAAGATTCGTCTGTGTTTATTCTGGGGTGAGGTTTCCCTCTAACCTTTGTTCAGGTCTGTCAGGTTTACAGCTGTGGGGGTATGCTACTTCCCTCTTCACCCCTACCCTCCAACTCTGCCCTGCAGAGGCTCAACTCCCTCCGTTGGGATGCTCTCATTTCGAGGAAGGTAAAGGCCCCAGTGTGAGCTGTGGCCATTTATGTAATGATAGAAAGCTACTGCTGGCCCTTCCTCTTCAGCAGAGGGACTGATTGTGTTATTGGTGAGAATAGACACAATTCTTCTGTGGAAATTGGAATGTTTCTAAGTACAGTTCATGCCCAAGGAAACTCCTAACCAATTGGAACTGGTAGGTATGTTCTGGAGTGGATGTCTCCAGCACTTTTAAGTTAAAAACTCTAACCCTACAAAATCTGTTTTTATACCATTCCATTGTAATGATGCCACCAGGTTTACCAAATCAAAATAATTGGTAGCAACATTAACTGATAAAGAAAGTAAGTCCTTTGGGTAATTAAATACTTTAATTAGAAGGAAGGAGATAAGAATTTAAATGCCTACTCTGTGCAAGGCATTGTGCTAAATGCTTTACAAATAATATTTCATTTGAACCTCACAACAACCCTGGGAGGTAGGTGTTATTATTATTCCCATTTTGGAGTTAAGAAAGCCAAGGTAGGCAGCGGTTAAGTGACTTTTTGAAGATATTAAGTGTCTGAGGCCAAATTAGAACTCTGGTCTTCTTGCCTTCAAGCCCACCATTCTATCCACAGCACCCTCTAACTGCATTTTTATTTATTCTAATTTGTTAATAAAGGGGAAATATAGGGAGGCATTGGCAAACTCTATATCTTCCATCAGTATTCAAACAGAAAAGACCCTCCCCTCTCCCATGCAAATCCGAAGGAAAACGATTTCTTGCAGAATCCTCCCATTCTCTCAGAATATTTATTCTATAATGTCAGATTTTTGTTGTATAAATGGTGTTGAGGTTCAGCCTTGTTTCTGTGAAATCTGCACCCAAGAGATCTCCTCCTTCATTTAATTGGCAGTTACATGCATTCACACCCAGGGATGAGATTGGATTATAACCTATTGGTCTGAATAATAGTTTTCCCTTTTGGCAAATGAAGGGTTTCCACTTTTGACATGCAGAAAGAATATTCCCGCAAAGCCACCTGCTCCCTGGGCAGGGATGTTAACTTTCAGGTTTGTGCTTGGACGTTTTTCTCACCAAGATCTTAAGTCCCTACTTGATGGCATCTATTGTTACTGACCTCTGTGGGAAGGGGTCTATCTCTAAACATCATGTGTCTTTTTTTTTTTTCTCTGCTGGTAGAAATACAGACCGACCAGATGCATCTGCTGTTCACCTGCATGACTTCCAGAGGTTTTTGCTGCATGAACAGCAGGTAAGAAGAGAAGAAAAGGAACTGGCCGCTGGATGAGCCTGGGTTGAGGGATCACTTAATGAAATCCTGTTTGCAGAGGGCATTTTCACGACTCTGAGGAGCTGAGTGTTGGGTTAAAGTGAAGCAAATCACAGTGGAAAGAACCAAGAAGTGGGAGGCAGAGGCTTTGACTGCCCTTGTGTGTCCTTGGGCAGGTTATCTCATCAGTATTACCTCAGTGCTGAATGACAGTTAACTCAATTTATTTTTGATTGATCTCCTATCATCTTCCTAATGGAGGCTATTTTGAACCTTCTTCTGTCTCTCCAGGTGTGCTCCAATACCATTTCCACCCCTTTCTCCTGTAGCACACGGTCTCACCTCTTACATTATGGAGAAAGTCATTGATCATGAGCTTCCTCATTTCCAATTTTCCAGTGCCTCAGAAACTATTTCTTTACCTGCCATCTATCCTTTCGTGCCAGACTCAGAGGATGAAGTAACCCTTCTTTTGGAGAAGGTTAATCTCTCTATTTTGTGCCCTTGATCCTATGTCTTCCTGTCTCCTCAGGGAACTTGCTTTATCAGTTTGTCTCTACTTCTATACTGGTTCCTTCCCTTCTGCTTATAAACATGCTCACATCTCTCTATTATTTTTCTTTCTTTTTAATTTAATATTTTATTTTTTCCCCAATTACATGTGCAATTTTCAACATTCTTTTTTTTAAAATTTTTGAGTTCTATATTTTTTCCTTCTCCTCCTTCCTCCCTCCTCTCCCCCATTACTGAGAAGGCAATCAACTTGTTATAAGTTATAGATGTGCAGTCATGCAAAACATATTTCCATACTAATCATGTTGTGAAAGAAAACACAGACCAAAAAAAAAATAAAGAAAGTTAGGAATAGTATGCTTCATTTGCATTCAGACTCCATTGGTTCTTTCACTGGATATGGAAAGCATCTTGGATCATTGCATTGCTGGGAATAGCTAAGTCATTCACAGTTGATCATTGTACAGTATTGCTGTTACTGTGTACACTGTTCTGGTTCTACTCATTTTGTTTTGCATCAGTTCATTTAAGTCTTCCCAGGTTTTCTGAGAGCATCCAGCTCATCATTTCTTATAGTACAGTAGTCTTCCATAACAATCATATATCACAACTTGTTCAGCCATTTCCCACTTGATGGGTATCTCCTCAATTTCCAATTCTTTGCAACCACTAAAAGAACTGCTATAAATATTTGTGTACATATAGGTCCTTTTCCTTTTTGTTTTTTATCTCTTTGGGATACAGACCTAGTGGTAGTATTGCTGGGTCAAAGGGTATGTACGTGTGGTTTTATAGCCCTTTGGGCATAGATCCAAATTACTCTGAAGAATGGTTGAATCAGTTACTCCACCAACAGTGCGTTAGTGTCTCAATTTTTTCACATCCCAGCCAACACTTGTCATTTTCCTTTTCTGTCATATTAACCAATCTGATAGGTGTGGGGTAATACAGAGTTATTTTTATTTGAATTTCTCTAATCAGTAATGATGTAGAGCATTTTTTCATATGACTATAGATAATTTTGATTACTTTGTCTGAAAACTGCCTGTTCATAACCTTTGACCATTTATCAATTGGGGAATAGCTTTTTTTTTTTTTTTTGTTGTTGTTGTTTTTGTTTTTTGTTTTGAGGCAGTTGGGGTTAAGTGACTTGCCCAGGGTCACACAGCTAGTAAGTGTTTGGTCTGAGGCTGGATTTGAACTCAGGTCCTCCGGAATTCAGGGCTGGTGCTCTATCTGCTGCGCCACCTAGCTGCTCCTGGGAATGGTTTTTTTTAAAAATAAATTTGACTAAGTTCTTTATGTATTTGAGAAATGAGGCCTTTATCAGTAAATTTTTTTTGCAGTTACAATCAACAACTCTGTTTCTCTCCCCCCAATTTTCCCTCTTTTAATCCTACTCTCTCACCTTTCACCCTGTCTCTCTTTAAAAGTGTTTCACTTCTGACTATCACTTATTCCAATATGCTCTCCTTTCTATCAGTGCCTTTTCCCCTCACCCACCGCTTTTCTATCCCCTTTTCCTCCATCTTTCTTATAGGGTAAGATAGATTTCTATACCCTGAATGTGTATGTCATTACCTCTTTGAGCCAATTCCGATGAGAGTAACTACTAAAAAGTTATTTCTCTCTCTTTGAACTCTTAGGGCTTCCTGAGCTCTCTTAGGTACTTGTCGTATACACCCTGTATTATGTTGTATTATATATTAGGTGTATAGGTCTTGACTTTACCCCTATTACATTTCAGATTCTTTCAAAGGCAAGAGCCATGCCAGTTTTCCTTTTCCTTTTTGTATACCTAGGGCCTAGCATGGGGACCTGTATGTAGTAGGTGTAGAATAAATATATGATGAATTGATTTGAACACATGAGGTTAGAACTGGAAAGGACCTTGGAGACTTGCTGTTTCAGCTTCTTTGGGTTTCAGTCTCCTCCTGTGAAAAGTGAAGGGAGCTGGGTTAGATGGTCACTAAAGGCCTCTTAGCTCTAGCATTTGCTGACTCTGATGTTTAAATTTTTTAAACTGTCTACCTTGTAGGATCATTGTGAGGAAAATGCTTTGTAAAATATAAACTGCCATAAAAATGTGAACTAGGATATAGTATATCATCTCAAGAGAGTGGTAGTGTTGCATAGGGAATAGAGAACTAGCTTTGAAGTCCACAGGCCCTAGGTTCAAGTCCTACCTTTGACATCTCCACAGGCATTTATTAAGTGCTATGCCAGGCACTATGTTAAGCTCTGGGGATACATTCCCCCAAAAAACCCAAACAAACCCAACTCTTTTCAATAAGAAGCCAAACTTCTAATAGCAGAGATAGTATATATGTAAATCGCTATGTACTAGATATATACAAGGTAGATGGAAGGTAACCGTGGGAGTTAGGTAGGGTACTGGGAAAGCCCCCTCTGCAGAAGGCAGCATGTGAGCTGAGTTTTGAAGGAAGCCTGGGCTTCCATGATGTGTGATCCTGGACATGTTCACCAACCTCGCTGAGACTAACTTATAGGGTGGTTGGTGATCTACTTTGGTAGAGGGAGTTTACAGATTCATAGAATCACAGAATTTGAGAGCTGGTAGGGATATCAATGACCAGCAAATCTACCCCACAAATTAAAGGAGTACTGATTGTAATGTACCCAACAAGCAGTCATCTAACCTCTTCTTGAAGACCTCTGAGGAGGAGCAACCTAGAACAGTGAAATCATAGGTTCTATCCAAAAACATTATCCACATTGACAGTAGCTGTGTGACCCTGGGCAAGTCACTTAACCCCGATTGCCTCACTAAAAAGCCCCCCCCCCAAAAAGTGAGCCAAAAACATTATCCCTGCTCAGCATGAGTCAGAGGATTGGGGTTCAAATCCTGGCTTCAGTGGGATTTTGGGCAAGTCAGTGAATTTCAGGTTCTCCATCTGTAAAGTGAGGTAGTAAGACTCGATGGTACTCTTTGAAGGTGAGAAATTAATCTCGATGCACCTCTGGGCAGCATGGTGAGTGCTGAATTTGGAGTCACAACCAGGCATAACTTTGCATCTCAGCTCAGGCAGTTATTGCTGTGTGACTGCTACCCATTTACTTAAGCTTCTGGGCCTCAGTTTCCTCACCTGGAAACTGGAGATTAAAAAACAACAACAAAACACCATAGAAGTTACTTCGTATGCATTTTGTGAAGATGAAATGAGATAATGTTTGTAAAGTGCTATAGAAATGTAGTTGTTATTAACATCAGTATTGTTATTCTAAGAAATAGAATAAAATAATAGGATAAAATAAGATAATATTCTAGGAAATAAAACAATCTAGTTTTATAAGCATTCTTGGTTGTTCTTATCTAGTGCCACCTGGTGGCAGAAAATACCACAACAGATTAAAAACATGGATGGGTAGAAATGCTTCCCAGTTGTTGAAAGTCCTAGGCTCAGAACTTGGGCTCTCTATCCACTGTGCCACCTCACCAACATCACTTTACCCCTTACATAGGCGCAGGACATTGATCTACCCCAATAAGGAGAGAGTCTCATACCATTGGGCTTTGGAACTGTGTTTATACATACAACATCTCACTTAGTCCTAACAAAAATCTTGTAGGCATGTCAAATATTATTATTTCCATTTTGGGACTGAGGCCCAGAGAAAAGAATTGACTTACGTAAGGTCTCTCTGTCTTTTTTTTTTTGAGGGGGTGGGGCCTGAAACATAGGGCTTCTGGCTCCAAGTCCAGTGCTTCTGTTAGACTATAGTCCCCTTACTTTGTTTATAGGACAATGAGGTACCTGTGAGTCAGATATTTTGGGGGCACTTCTATGTATAGGGTATTGTCCTAAGCTCTTTAAGGGATCCAAGGAAGGATAAGATATAGTCATTGTCCTCAAGGAAGATGTAGCCTAATTGGGGGATATAAGCACATAAATTCATGATCCCAGGCATTATTCCCTATGAATCATAACAGTATAAAGTGCCAAAGGAATTTAGGACACTTCAGTATGGGTCATAGAAAGTCGTAGAGCAATGAATAGCATTTTCATAGACAGAAGGGACAGTTTTGGGCATTCCAGGTGAGACATTAGGTCATTTTATAGATGAGGAAACTGAGGCCTAGAGGGGAAATGATGGACTTAAGGTATGAGCAAAGACACTTAAGACAGTGAAGTGCCAAGTGTATTTGGCGCAATATGGATAGATCCATTTGGCATATGCCCCAGGGTGCCCCCTTCAGAAATTGAATCCTGGGCTAGAAGGATCGAAGGGATGGCTTTGTGTGATAGTTCCTGTGTCTCTGTTGATTTGAAATCCTCATCAAAACCTAATAAAGCTGAAGATCCTAGGATTTTAGAGATGAAAGAGACTTCATAGATCATCTAATCCATTGCTTTCACTTTAATAATAATAGTAGCTCACATTAATATAGTACTTTAAGATTTTCAAAGTGCTTTACATATATTATTTCATTTGAATCTCATAACTCCATGAAATTTTTATTATTATTACTGTTATTATCTTTATTTTATAAGTGAGGAAACCGAGGCTGAGAAGTTAAGTGGTTTTCCCAGTGTTGCACAGCTAGTAAGTGTCTGACACAGGATTTGTACTCAGTTCTTCCTGACATGAATCTGATGATCCCTCTGTCCCCTACACCAGAGGTGTCAAACACAGTGGACCAGTGTGGCCAGAACCAGATTAAAATGTCATAGGGAAAATTTAGCAAAATAAAGAAAAGTACATTAAATGTAGATGTTAACATATGGTTCTCTAAATCAATATGCTGCCATAAGAACCCTTATGTGTGGTTTCTATTTGAGTTGGACACCACTGCCCTTCAGCACCTGGCTGTAGCTAACTAAAGCCCAGGGAAGCAAGTGACATACCCAAGGTCACATGTGTGTTGTTTACAGAGAACATAAGCTTGGGCACCTCACAGATGGCATCAGTTTAATGTTGCTGTTCTTAGGAGGCTTTCAGTAGAGGCGCTCATTTCCATCAATGGGCCAGTGACCAAGAAAAACCCAAGGGGAGAATTTATACATCTTGGTGTGTTAGACTTCTCAGCACTGAGACTGTTATATTCCCTAATGCAATTAGCAAATTTGTTGATACCTGGTACAATTTCTAGCCAGTGTTAATAAACACATAAGTCTGTTTGGGGTGAGGGAATAGTGAATGATAGCAACTTAGAAGGGGACTCTGGCCCTGGACTACAGAAGCCCTGGCTGAATACTGGCCAGATTTTTACATATTGTCCTCCAGTATGCAAAGACTTTATTGCCAGTGCATCCAAATGAAAGGATTATTATACAGAAGCAACTGATTTGCCTTATTAATCAGTGTACATTTGCAGAAGCAAGTAGAAAGGTGTACTGTTTTCTTCCATTACCAGTCAGTTTCAGGAGGATTTTTTTTTAATGTTACCTAATATGTGTCTGTCCTTGTCTTTTTCTCCTTGACAGGTTTATTGGTCCATCCCATTATGCCCAGTCATAAGACTGCTGGCCACAAATTTGTTTATCATTTCAATAAAGACAGAGACAAACTTCAAGATCTCTAAAACCAGGAAGAATTAGGAAAAGTTGACTTCCTTTGTTATAGTACACCATTGGTAAAATGCTGTACAAATATTAGAGAACTTGGGACTTAGCAAGGGAAACAGTAGGGTTGTATTTTTCATCACATCTGCTTGTTTCTGAAATGCTTTAAAATATTTCCAATGACTTTATGATGTTTACAATACCTAGTGATTTTACTTTGTAGTTTTTGTTAGTATTTGGTAAGCTTCAGTGTCTTGGTGTGACCTTGACTCTAGGAAATCATAGCACTCCAATGGATCTTTGATCTCATTGATGTGAGCATTTCTTCCAACAATGGAGATCACATTTTGTGGGTCCCTGCCCATCTTGTGTAGCCCATCCTTGTCCAAGTCCTCTCCTAAATGTGCCACAGAGGGCTCGCCCAGCGGCCTTCTTTGATTTCTCTTGATATCACAAGACATACCTGCCCATCCTCTTTTTTTGGTTATACAAAAGACTTCATATGAGTTCATGCCATTCTGTGTATAGATGCATAGATGGTTTCCTTCAAACTGGTAGAAAATTCACGTCTTCCCTTTGTCATCTTTTGGTGATTTTTTTTTCCTTTATTTGTGTTTTTTTGTTTTGCTTTAAGGAAATCTGGGCGCAAGATCTGAGTAAAGTAAGAGAGCGAATGACAAAATTTATAGATGACACTATGAGAGAAACAGCTGAGCCATTCCTGTTTGTCGATGAGGTGAGTGAGGTCCTTTCTGACTGGTGTGAAATGTCCTTATCTTGTATATAGTTTTTAACTCTCTAAAGATGACTTTTCAGTTACATTTTAAATGATTTCAATACACAAGTCAGTTAATGACATGGAACTTCTGTTGGTACAGACTGTCTTATCTGTATCTTAATACAGACTCTTTTTTTTTTTGCCTTTTTGGTGAGGAAGTTGGGATTAAGTGACTCGCCCAGGGTCACAAAGCTAGTAAGTGTCAAATGTCTGAGACTGTATTTGAACTCAGGTCCTTCTGACTCCAAGGCTAGAGCTCTATCCACTGAGCCACTGGCTGCCCCATTGTTAATACGTTTAATAGAGAAATGGCAAGGAGAAGGAAAGAAGGAGAAAGCCCACCTATATCAGGAATTTGTCACTTGGTTAGACGCTCTGATTGGGAGAAGAGATTGAAATCATTGGTGAAATTGGGGCTTGTTGACCCTCTGTGGATAAATCTCTTATCGTTGAGTTGACCACTTAGCATTCTCATTGACATTTAGTTTGTATTTTTGTTGACTGTTTTTTCTTGTTTGTTTTTTATTCTGTTTTATTTTTTAGTTCCTCACTTACCTGTTTTCAAAAGAAAACAGCATTTGGGATGATAAATATGACTCTGTTGATATGCAAGACATGAATAACCCTTTGTCTCATTACTGGATTTCTTCATCTCATAACACGTAAGTTTTTTGATAGCTCAGCACACAACAAAATTAATAACAAGTGTGCAAAATCAAGATAGTTTTTGAAGGTGTTTAATCTACCAGTGAAGTAATGTAGACTGAAGTTTCTCTAATTGGGGTCTAAAAAGGTTTCCTTATGGCTGGGGCTGGTGGTGTAAGATATTGGACATTTTCCAATAACACTGAAATATTCTCTCTACTTGCATAGAGAGAATTAGAAAGAATTAGAAAGTTGATATTTATGCTATGTACATGTGGATCATCCCTCAGCAGTATCATAGAAATGAAAAAGAAGTTATTAGGGGCAATTTGCTTACTAGTGATCACTAGTACCTAGAAATATGGGAAATTCTGGATTAGGGTTTCTACCTTTCCTGCTTGTTTGGGCTGTTTTCTAAGTTGTCTGATCTTTTATGTGCTACTTTACTGTACTCTAAGCTTTCTCACCTTGCATGTAAGCTTATCATGATCAACATTTAAATTAAGCTGACCAAAGAAGTTTGTAGATCATGGGGTAGTTAGTGTAGACAGATGTCTCAAGGCTGTTGTTAAGGATGCTGGGCCTTTTTTGGCCATTTCATCTGGCCTTGTGGTCGTGCTCAGCTCTCCATGGTGAGGTGGAAAACGCCCTGGACTGGGAATTAGAAAACCTAGGTTCTGGTCCAGGCTGTGCCCCTAACTTACTCACTTTGTGACCTTGGACAAATTGCCTCCCCTCTCAGGTCTTAGATAATTACCCTTGACAACATGAACTCTAAGGTTCCTTCTAGCCTGAATGCTCTGTGGTCCTCTGAATCTCTGTCAGGGTTGTACCCTGCTTCTAGATGCCAGAGCATGTGGTACTCAGTGTCCCTGCAGGTACTGGAAAGAGTCTTTTGCCTTCAGCTTTTTGTAAAGGGTCCTGAGAGTCCGTCTCAGGTTTGAAACGAAAAGCATTGCATGGCTCCCATGAGCTGAGCCTGTCTGGCCTCATTAGCCTAGGCTAGTAAGGATTTACATTGGGGTTAGTGGTATTAATGCAGGTTCAGGCACAGTATTTCACTGCCAGATCCCTTCTTAGGGGGAGGCCTTACCAGGGAAGAAGACTCGTGGGTAGTCTCAGTCTGTGTTTTTAAAGGGGAGTTTGATAGTAGTGAGATCTAAAGTAGTGAGATTTAAAGATCTAAAGAGATCTATGGGAGTCAGCCTTCCATATGAAACTGCTTATGCCACTGGTGTAATTTCTGTCCACTCTAGAAATTTCTTGGGAGTTTTTCAGGGCCTGTTTGGTGGCACTTGGCATATCCTCTCGGCCACTTCTTTGTCTGTGATGATGTACAGTGGTGCCTTGCATAGGTCTGCTCTTGCAGATCCCCTCTCTCCGAACTGGTTCTCAGCTTTGGCAGAAGGAACATTAGGAGTTTGGGAAGCAACAGGCCTGGGTTCTGCTCCTATCTCAGCCACTAATTCTCTGTGGGATCTTGGGCACTTAGTTACCTAGAATCATTGACCTAGACCTGACAGGGACCTTAGAGGCCATCTTCGTTGTAGAGGTGAGGAAACAGAGGCCTAGAAAGGTAAAGTGAATTACTTTTCCAAGGACACACAAGGGACCAGGATTTTAACTCAAGTCCTTTGATTCTAAACCTAGCACTCTTCATACTTACCGCTTTCCTTCTCTGGGCCTTGGTTTCTCCATCTATAAAGTGAGGGGTCTGGACTATATGGTCTTTGAGGGACCTTTGGCTCTAAATCTATGATCAAATGGTCTTAAACTTGGAAGGGTCTTTGTCTAGCTCTAGCAATGTAGGTGAGATCCTCGTCTCCCTTCATCCCTCCTCCCCTTCAGGTTCCTGAGGCTGCTACATGAAGTAATCCCATAAAATACTGGATTGAATGATTTGCCCTAAACTACTCAGAATAATAGGTGATCATCCCGATTGATTGTTTTACACTGGTCCTGCGATCTCAGTTGGTCAGCATATAATACTGGTCTATCTTATTGTGAATATCACTCTAATGGACACATATTTAAGCCCCTACTATGTGAAAAACACGGTCTTAGGTACTGATCATGTTGGAAGAAAGAAATTATAATAATACTAGGGCTTTATAGTTTAAAAAATGCATCATATATTTTCTCATTTGATCCTTGGAACAACCCTGTGGAATAGATATTGTTATTATCCACATTTTATAGATAGGGAAACTGAGGCTTCATAGATGGAGGTTAAGTGATTTGCCCAGGGTCACATAGCTAATAAGTATCTGTGACAGAATTTGATCTCAGAGCTTCCTGACTCTAGGCCCAATGCTCTATCTATGGTGCCACCTAGCTACCAAACATCTCAGTCCAAGGAGACTCAATTTGGAAACATTGTGAAGTTACTCTACGTTAGGGGGACAGGTTGGGGAGGGGTAGTGGTGGAGGTCCGTTTCCTTCTCTTAAATTATGGCTTTGCACTCTGTGATTTCCAATGCTAAATCCTGTAATCCTTTGACTGACCTGGTGTTCTCCAGAATGGTCATTTCAGAAGGCAGAGGCACTATAAGAGGCGAACAGGCCTGTGTACCTATTCTGTGTTCTTTCTTTTTTCTTTATCCTTTCTTTCTCTTCCAGTCTATTTCTTAACCCATTTCAGAATCAATATAGTGCTTACCACGTGCGGCTATGACTGATTGTCATTGTGGGGTTAGCTCATAGCTCCTGAGAGTTGTGAGCAAGGCTGCTATCTGTGCTTCATTTCTGAAACTTATGGGTATGTGGGTGGGTTGCTTTCCCAGCAGGTGGATTTATAGGATGGCTGGCTCTTTTCTTGTCATTTTCTGTCACACAACAAGGGCCTGGTCACAATCTGGCCTCTTATTCTTATGTTTGGCAATTTCCTCACTCTAGCATTATATAATGATGATGATGATGAAGATGACAATGACAACGACAATGATGATAGTTAGCATTTATATAACACTTTGTTTGCATAGCATTTTATAAATATTATTTTGTTCGATCCTCATGGCAACCCTGGGAAGTAGATAGTATTATTATCATCTCCATTTTACAAATGAGGAAACTGAGACATAGAGAGGTTAAGCAGTTTGTCCAGGCTTCTACAGATAGGAGGTTTCTGAGGTAGGATTTGAACTTAGGCCTTCCAGATTCCTAGTAATCACTGTGCACCCCAGACTCAGTTTCCCATCTACCTGATAAACAGTGTCAGCATCTAGACTAATAGAAGCAAACTTGTCCAATGTCATGGAATCCTCTTGGTGTGAATGAGTTTATTGGACTGTAGTTTTAATTGTGAAACAGAGAGTTATTTCTGGTTCTCAAACTAAGAGGAGCAAATTGATAAGACAGAAGCTTTAATATTCAGAAGATTTTAATGATGTTATCTCATGACCTCTTCAACATGGCTGGCTCTGCTCTGTTCATTCAGGTACCTCACTGGGGACCAACTTCGAAGTGAATCTTCTACTGAATCATACATTCGATGTCTTCGAATGGGTTGCCGGTGTATAGAGTGTAAGTGATCATGGAGAAAGGCAGCAAACACACATAGATGCTTATTCATTTAATCAATATTTACTGAGCATCTAACATATGCAGTTTCTGATGCTCAGTGTTATGGGACATACAAACTTTATTTATGGATGTTATTTTAAGGCTAATAAGACACAGCCCCTGCCTTCATTGAGCTCTCATAATCTGTTGGACTTTTTAGAGCTTTTCCTTAGGAAACTTTTCTTGCAGATAGGATTTTTCTGAAAGAGGAAGAAATGTTCCATGCTATTCTTTTGTATAGTATTTTTTGTGGAAGTCAGGTTCTTGCCCTGTTTTTAATGAATGCTAAGGAATCATATAGGTCACTTTTACATCCCTGTGCATTGGAGCACTTTGGTGAATCTTTAGGGATTCTTTGATACATCTCAGGTTCTCTTCATTCCCCTTTGCCAGATTTTGACTTGAGATAATGTTGACTGTGGGAGAGAGGGTAGGCAGAATGCCTAAGTGTGTGTACATAAAAATAAACATGGTTGGGGGAACATATAAATAGTGTTCCTTATTCCTTTCTTATGGTATTCCAATGAGCTCATGGTGTGTGTAGACTGAAAAAAGTTTGGGGAATATAAATTTTGTCATGAACTTGCCCATGCAGTCAAGTTTGGGGAAGGTTTCCTGTTCTTTTCTTCTCAGTTCTCTGGTAGAGTTGTTTAGGGACTATTGATACCTTTAAAAAGGTAAGGATCTCTTCTTGGATAAACTTTCCAAAAATATCAGGCTTTTTTTTTTTTAAAGCCCACCCTACTGAGCAGACACATCCCTCCTTCCAATGTAATTGTCCTACCTGAAATCCAAGGATTTACTGACACTGTGGTGATTCCTTTGTGGGTCTTCTGTGGACTTCCTACCCTAAAATTCTGATCTCATATATGTAAAAAAAGCAAGTGACTAACGTGGTAAAAATGATGTTTTCTTCCCTCAGTGGATTGCTGGGATGGGCCTGATGGGAAGCCAATCATCTATCATGGCTGGACGCGGACAACAAAGATCAAGTTTGATGATGTGGTGCAGGCCATCAGAGACCATGCTTTTGTCTCCTCACAGTAGGCTTGCAGTTTTTGTAGCTTTGACTTGGGAGAGGGGGCCCTGCTTGTAAGAGGAGAGAGCTCAAGTATAGCTAGATACTTATGAAGGCATCTGCATTTTTCTTCCTTACTTTTCCTTCAGTATTTCCAGGTCATGGGATTACATATAAGGGAGACTTCCTCTGCTGGAGGGCCTTAAGTCTTGTAAAGCATTTTTTTCACAACAGCTCTTTGAGAGGTAGTGAAAGGAGTCAGATGGGACATCTGGCAAAGACTGGAACTGAGGGTTTTTGGATCAGAAGCAATTTTGTATTTATCGTGGTTTATCTTTACTCACTACCACATCCTCATCCCAGTTCTTCCATGAAAACCTATCATAGGAAAAGACATTTTTTTTAAAGCTACTCAACCAAAAACCTTACCCTGCCTCCCAGTCCTCCATTCCTCTTAATTCTGGTTTATGGGCATATTTATACTAGTGGGACCCAAAGTTTACAATGGTAAAATATTTACAGAAAATATTTAAAATACCTACACTCATTGCTCCCCAGACATTGGAGCCACAAGAGACCAAACTGTTTTCACTCAGCCTTTGATCTCACAAGACAGAGCCTATTGCCCAGGGCCCCATATATGTCAGATTCTTCTTTCTCTATACTCTCTCGGTGGTCTCGTTAGCTCCCTTGGAGTTCTGTGATCTTTTTGCAGATGAATATCAGATCTATTTATTCAGTCCAAGTCTCTTGCCTAAGCCCCATTTTCAGCCTTGGGCCCCAAAGGCTTGTGCCTTGTTAAATCTTATCCAAAGCAGTGGGACAGCTAGGTGGTGCAGTGGATAGGGTGTCAGGCCTGGAGTTGGGAAGACTCATCTTCTGGAGTTCAAATCTAGCCTCAGACACTTACTGTCTGTGTGACTCTGGGCAAGTCACTCAACTCTGTTTTCTTCAGTTTCTATCATCTGTAAAACGAGCTGGAGAAGGAAATGTCAAACCACTCCCTTATCTTAGCCAAGAAAACCGCCAGTGGGGTCACAAAGAGTTGGACATAATTAAAATGACTGAATAACAACCACAAAAAGCAGTGCCAAAGTTTACATTTAGTGGCACATTTACTAACCAGACAAGGAGCTCCAGCAGAGGTCCCGGGAAGCAAACTGCTGTCTTTATCTATCCCAGATGGTCTGTTATTTGTCCTAGAAACTTCTTCTCCTACTTAGCTAAACGAAAGATGGCAGTTACCCAGAATTTTTAGGATAGCCCACAAGGACTTCTGAACATTTTTCTTGTTTTCTCTTTCCCTTTTGTGGAAGGGAACCAGTAGCCTGCTGTTTGTTTTCCTTTCCTTTCCTAGGTTCCCAGTAATCCTCTCCATTGAAGAGCATTGCTGTGTAGAACAGCAACGTCATATGGCCAGGGTGTTTAAGGAAGTATTTGGGGACCTCCTCCTTACAAAGCCCACTGAAGCCAGTGCTGACCAGTTGCCGTCCCCTGCCCAGCTGAAAGAAAAGATCGTCATCAAGGTATTTCCCATTCACAAGCATTTGGTGTCATTTAGTAATTGAAAAAATTTTGGATTAGGAACCGTTGGATCTCCAAGGTCCCTCCCAGCTTGAACATTCTGTGATTCACACAAGACAAAGAGGCTTAGCAGGGCTGCATATCTTTACCGTGAAATCCTAGATCCATTGAAATAGCAGAGTAAAGAAATAATCCCACTGCGTTGTCGAGAAGGAGGAGGACTATATTTGATGGTCTTTTTTTCAGTCCTTGTCCTTTTTGACTTTTGCAGGGTTTGACATCATTGATCACTCCCCGGTTACTCTCTCCTCCCTTAGCTTTTCATGAAATAGCCTTTTCCTGATTTTTCTCTTATGTCCTTGTCTTTTTTTGTCACAGTATTCTTTACTAGATCATCATCCATGGCCTGCCCCCTAACTATCAGTGTCCTACAGAGCCCTGTCCTGGTTGAAGAATCTTCTCTTTTTTTCCTGCATTTTCTCTTTTGATGATCTCATCAGCTTTCAATGACTCACTTATCACCTCGATGCAAATAAATCCCAGACCTCTACAACCAACCCTAGTTCCTCTTTAAGCCCTAGTCCTATATTGTTTATGGGCATATTGGAAATTTTGACCTAAATGTCACATAGGCATCTCAAACTCAACATGACCCAAACAGACCTCATTATCTTCCCTCCCCCCAAATTCATTCTTCTTTGACTCGAAGAGTAGTTATTAATGGGTCAGTGTCTCACCTGTCTCCCATATCCAGTCAATGAGTTACAACATGTTACCACTATCCCTTTTTCTCCACTCGTAAGGCCACCAACCCAGTTCAGATCCTCATTACCTCTTACCTGGACTATTGGAGTTGCCTCATATTTGATCTTCCTGCCTCTAGTCTCTGCCTTCTCCAATCCATCTTCTACACAGTTACCAAATTAATATTCGTAAAATACAGGCCTGAATATATCATTCCCTTGCACAATAACTACCTGTGGTTTCCTATTGCCTCAAGGATCAACTAAATGTTTGGCATTTAAAGCTGTTCACAGTTGGTTCCAACTATACTTCCAGACAGTTTTCACATTGTTTCCCCTCAGACACTGTATATTCCAGCCAAATTGGCTTATTTACTTTTATTTGCCCTTCTTTTTAAATAATGTTGCATCTCTCACTTCTATACCTTTGATTAGCCTGTCCTTCATGCCTCGAAAGTATTACTTCTTCACCTTTGCCTCTTGGATTCTTTAACTTCTTTCAAGATTTTGCTCAAGGGCTACATCCTCCATGAGGCCTTGTCTCATCTACTGAAATCACTTACATATATTTTGATTGAACTTATCTGTGAACATGTTGTTTCCTCCCATTAGAACATAAGCTCCTTGAGGGCAGAGACTGTTTCCTTAGCACCTAGCGTATTGTAGGCACTTGATAAAATGCCTGTTGGATGAAGTGAGTGAGTGAGTAAAATGAATGATTGAGTAGATGGTCACCGATATCCCTTTCAACTCTGAAATTTGAAGTGTGATTATGCATCCTGATTTCATTCCTCAAAAGATGATAGAAGGGGAACTATGATTTTGGACCCAGATTCCACCTGAAAAAGCGTAACTGGTTATTGAAGTAGAATAGACAGGACCTTTGGGAGGTATGACCATTTCATCTTGAAATTTATTCTATGAAAAGACAGAATAGCCAGGCATCATCTGACCCAATATGAGAAGCTGACATTTATCTACTACCTTAAGATTTGTAAAGCACTTTACATGCATTAGTTCATTTAATCTTTCTGATAAGTCTGTGAGATAGGTCTTGTAAGCATTATTATCCCCATTTTATAGATGACAAAAATGAGGCTCATATATTTTTGTCAAGTGACATGCTAGCTGTGGTCACATAGCTGGTAACTGTCAGGGGTACCAAGTCTCTTCTAATTTCAATTTCACTGTTTTTTTCCTCTGGACCATAGTGTACCCTGAAATCTGTGAGAGTAGATTTTAGAGGTCCAAAGAGAAGCCAGGTAAAATCCTCAATTATTCTTCTTGTTCTCTTCCTTTTCTTCTTCCTCCTTTCCCTTCTCTCTCTGCCTCCCGTTTTATTGGCCTAGGGAATCCTTAGGAAGGTAATTCTTTCGACCAGCATATCTGTGACTGCTTGGTGATCTACTGCCTTAGAGAATTGCTTGGGAACCGAGACTTGCACAGGATCACACAATTAGGATGTGTTTTAGGCTAGACCTTTAGCCTAGGTCTTCCTGAGTCTGAGACTAGCTTCTCTTTCTCTCCAGTATGCCATCATGCCCCTCAGGCAGGTAGGCTGCCACACCTAAAATGCTTTTTTGTTCCTTTTTTTTAAATAATAAAATTTTACTTATAGCTTTGCTTTTTACCTTACTTAGATTTCCCCTTTGATACTTCCCCTGCTGAGAAAACCATCCCTTATAACAAATAATTTTTTAGAAAAAAAATGAGAAAGAAGATAAGAAAAAATTCAGTGAGATTGATCAATACATCAAAAAAACCAAAACCAAACCAAACCCCTGATGTTATATACAGTGTTGTGGAGCCACAGCTAAAATGCCCCAGGGTAGGTCAGCTCACGAGGAATGGGAACTCCCAAGAATGAAATTGTAAGGACCCAGAGGGAAACAGTTCTGGTGAAGAAAGGGAAAGGCTGTCTAAAGAGACTAATGTAGATGTGCAGAGAGCACATTGACGAGTGTAGATTTAAAAGGACAGAAGATGGAAACAAGGACAAGAGATGGTAGACAGTTATAAAAGTGGCTTAGTCCTATAAAAATAGTGTCAGGAGCACTAAAGTTCAGAGTGAACTGAGGCTGGCAAAGAATATCAAGTAAAACAAAGGGAAACAAGGTTTTAAAAACTATTTTAGGGGGAAAGAAGGTCAAATAAGAGATACAGACAAAAGTAGGTGAATCAGTCAATCAACAGGCCTTTACAAAGTACCTAGAGTGTCAAGTCCTGTCCTGGGTACTTGAAGTAATAAAAAGACAAAAATGAAACAGATTCTACCCTCAAGGAGCTTATGTTCGGGGAAAACTACACGTAAAGACATAACTGACTATTCAAACAGCTTGGGGGAGGACAGTGCAGGGATCTAGGAGGTAGATGGCACAGTGATAATAGAGGAGCTAGAACTGTTCAACTCCTATGTTGCTTCTATTTTCTTTACTAAGGAGAATGATTCTTGAATCAAAGGGAGTGCACAAAAATGGTTACTATGAAGTTGAAAACCAAAATATATAAAAAAATAGTAAGAGAGCATCTTGTAGTCTTCTATGAGTTTGTCACCAGGGAAAAGGAACTACATCCTAGCGTGTTGAAACACATTATGAAAAGAATGGCTTAAGCCATATGAAAAAATGTTCTGAATCATTAATAAGTGAAGAAATGTAAATTAAACATCCCTGAGGTTCTACCTCATATCTATCAGACTGCAAAGATGACAAGAAAGGAAGATGATAATTGTTGGAAAGACTGTGAAAAAATAGGCACATTAATGCAGTATTGGTGGAGTGGTGAATCAGTCTAGCCATTCTGGAAATAATTCCTATTGGAATTATGCCCCCCAGATCAATTGTGACCCAACAACACTACCACTAGAACTATATCCTGAAGATTTAAATGAAAGAAGAAAAGAACTTATATTTATAAAAATATTTATAGCAGCTCTTCTTGTAGTGGCAAAGGACAGGAAGCTAAGGTGTCCATCAACTGGGTAATGGCTAAATAAATTATGGTATATGAATGTAGTGGTATATGATTGAGCTATAAGAAATGATAAAAGAGATAGTTTCAGAGAAACAGCTTTTTAGCTGATATGGATTGAAGTAAGCAAAACCAGGAGAACAATTTATAGAATAAATCAGTCAGTATTAAGTACCTACTGTGTGCCAGGTACCGGGGATATAAGTACAAAGAACGAAAAAAATCTCTATGTGCAATGCATTTACAATCTAGTGGGGGAGGTACGATAAGTATACATAAAATATATGCAACATAAATAGGAAGTTTCTGTCTGTGTATATCTAAATATATAGATATCTGTCTGTCATATATATGTGTATATATATGTATATGTATATATACCTAAATAGATATCTATACATATCTAGATATATAGATATCTGTAACTATCTAGATATCTAGAAATCTCTATCTATCTATCTATCTTGTTGCTGTTCAGTTGTGTCTGACTTTTCATGATCCCATGAACTATACTATCCATGGGTTTTTCTTGGCAAAGATACTGGTGTCATTTGCCATTTCCTTCTACAGTGGATTAAGGCAAACAGAGGTCAAGTTACTTTCTCAGGGTCACACAGTAAGTGTCTGAGGCTGAATTTGAACTCAGTTCTTCCTGACTCCAGGCCTAACACTCTATCTACTGAGCCACCCAACTGCCTCCTAGGCAAATGGAGTCAAGTGACTTGTCCAAGATCACACAGCTAGTGTTTGAGGCCAGAATTGAACTCAGGAAGAGTGAAGGAGTAGGCCATGGGACTTAAAGAGGTTGGGGAAATGGGAGAGAAGGGAGTTTGAGGGAACATCTACATGGATATTAAAGTCCCCTAGTATAAAGACAGGAGCTGGGGAGAAGAGGAAGATGTTGAACCAGGTGCTGAAGACCTTGAGAAAGGAGAGAGAATAGGTTCTCTGAGAGTGAGTATACTGAAGCTGCCATGATTTTAATTGGGGAAACTTCAAAGAGGAGAGATTACTGAGTGAAAGCGGCAAAGAGAGAATATGGAAGTGACAGTGGGGAGCAAGGGGTATTTTGACTCTCCTTCTAAAACCAGTATGACTACATTTGTTTAAAAAAAAAGGTCTGGTTTGTAAACATTTATAGAAGGAAATTTTGATCAAGAACACTTCATGCCAAACTAACCTCACAATTTTTTTTCCAGCGATACAATTGGGGTTAAGTGACTTGCCCAGAGTCACACAGCTAGTGAGTGTTATGTGTCTGAGGTCGGATTTGAACTCAGGTCCTCCTGACTTCAGGGCTGGTGCTCTATCTACTGCGCCACCTAGCTGGCCCCCCCCCCTTTTTTTAAAAAACAGGGTTGGTAGACTGGTGGATAAGGATAATACTGTAGCTCTAGTTTATCTAGATTTAAGCAGTGTCAAAGACAGAATCTATCCTGCTTGTCTTGTGGACCAGATAGAGACATGGGAATGGTAGATTCAGAACTGGTTGGTTGATTGGATGGAGGGTTGCCATTAATGCATCAGTATCAACTTGAAAGGAGAAAGTTAGTTAGGGAGGGTATATCCTTGGCTCTGAGTAGTTTATAATTTTTGTCAGTGAGTCAGATTAAGGCATAGAAGCCATGCTTATTCAGTTTGTAGATGAAACAGAACTGGGAAGGATAGTTAGCATGCTGGATGATGATAGTATTTATATAGTCTTTTAAGGTTTGCAAAGTGCTTTACATATTTTATCTCATTTGATCCTCACAATGATTTTGTGAGGTAATTGCTATTATTATCCCCCTTTTACAGATGTGGAAACTAAGGCTGAGAGGTTAAGTGACTTGAATGAAGTCACATAGCTAGTGAATGTCTGAGGCAAGATTTGAACTCAGGTCTTCCTGACTCCAGGTCTAGCACTTTCTCCACTGCACCACTACCTATCTTATGACCACCAGGTCATAAGATGACAGAATCTTTAGGATCCAAAAAGATCTAGTTATGGATCTGCATGTAGTGTATTGTTCCTCCCAGAGCCCAGTGGGGAGGAGCACTATAGTAATAAGATGAAATTTAATCTAGATAAATGGAAGCCTTATGTTCGGATTCAAAAAAAATTGTTTTTACATGTGCAAGTTGTCTAAGGCTATTGGATAGAAATTCAACTGAAAAGGACCTCATTGTTTTAATGGATTGCCAGATAATGTGAGTTAACAGTGTGTTCTAGCAGCCCCAAAAAGGTAGTGTAATCCTAAAAGCAGTGCAGTATTCTGGGCTAGAGAGGTAGTGGTTCCACTGTACCTACGTGCCCTGGTCTGTTCATATCTAGAGTACCGTGTTCAATATGTGTTGACATTTTCCTTTGTTTTTGTTTTTGTTGCTTCATGTGTGTATGTTGTGGGGTGGGGGGGTTGGTTTGATGGTCTTCCCAATCATTTTATTTGCTCTTCTTGGGCAACGGAAGCTCAAGAGTCCTTTGTTCTTCTTACATTGCTCTTAGCATCCAAAAGAGTCTTTGCACTTGGCAACTTGATAGTAATTGTTTATTTACTGGCTGATAGGAAAGAAAGGTTCCAAGAGAGAAACCTTCATTGTATTTCATTTTAGCACAAGAAGCTGGGTCCTAGGGGAGATGTGGACATCAACATTGAAGACAAGAAGGAGGAAAAAAAGCAGCAAGGGGAATTGTACATGTGGGACACCATTGATCAGGTAAGACCTAGTCTGTGCAAATCTGAATGCTGCTCCCCATGGTGCTGAAAATGTTATTGGCAGGTCCAAGCAGGAGGGCTTTAAGACCAAAAGAACATATGGGATACCATTGATTACGCAAGACCCAGTCTGTGCAAGTCTGAATGCTGCTCCCCATGGTGCTGAAAATGTTATTGGCAGGCACGAGCAGGAGAGCTTTAGAACAAAAAGAAATAAAATAAAAACTTCTCTTCCTTTTCCACAACTTTGTGTTGTTTTCATTATGGTTGTTAGAAACCTGAAGGAAGAGCAGAGGTCTGAGAACTGTGCAGTCACAAAATGCAGGGCAGGGGCATCCAGTCTGGATGCTGGAATCATCTGGAGAAAGGGATTATGCCCATGTTATAGTCTGAATTGGAGGGAATGAGCTGATTAGCATGGGGAAATGAGAATGCTTGCTTCTTTAAGTAACAACAATTTTAGGAAAAAATTTAGGACATTTTTGTGTGAGCAGTGTCCAAGAAGGACACTGGGAGCTGAGGCTTCCAGCTGCTGTTGCCATACCAGCTTAGGTTTCTTGTTTAAGAAGGCTAACTAACTATGGTCTTGTGTTGCAGAAGTGGTATCGCCACTATTGTGCCGTAGCTGATGACAAGCTGTCCTTCAGTGATGTTATAGAGCAGAACGCAGAGGAGGATTCAGTAAAGGTATGGGAAAAGGGCAGATTTTCCTACAGATCTGAATGAGGAAGGGGACCCTTCTTCCCAGTTCTGTCTCTGGCCCCTCTTTGTTCTGTCTGAGCAGTTTGTTGACACAATGGATAGAGCTCTGGCCCTGGAGTCAGGGATACCTGAGTTAAAATTTGGCCTCAAAAACTTATTAATTGTATGACCATGGGCAAGTCACTTAACCTTTCTTTGCCTTAGTTTCCTCATCTGTAAAATGGGGTAATGATGGCACCTACCTCCCAGGGTTGTCGTGAAGGTCAAATGAGATACTAATTGTAAAGCACTTAGCACAGTGCCTGGTATATAGTAAGCCCTATATAAAGTGTTATCATCATTATCATCATTTTTGTGTTCTTTGAGGGCAGTAACGATAGACTTCTGAGCGTCAAAGTAGAAGAGCTCAGGATGGACAGGCAGGGCCTGAGTCACTTCTGTGTCACTAAAGAGATCCAGCAGCTTTTAGGACAATATCACTGCCCTTATTTTTCTTACCTATTTTCACAGCCTTTTCCAACAAAACCAGAAATTCTTGTTTTTACACTCGAGGCCTGAATAGCCTTTCTCCTGCTTTGCTGGACTTCCCATTGTTGTCACTAGGTGGGGGTGTCCTCATGGTGAATTAAATAAAGCACTCTGCTTTTGCTCAGTATCGTAGTCCTCATTCTTCCTAGCTCAGGTGATTGTGGTAGCTAAACCACTGTTTATGCCCCAGGTTTTTTTTTTTCCATGAGCTTCCAACCCCATAATAAGGGACTTAACTGTGCACTATGGCAGAGCCCCAAGGTCCTGCTTCTTCAGGCAGAACCCCAACCATGTGCCCAGAGAGGATTCAGCCCCGGGGCCTGATTGAGTGAGCACAGCTTGTATTTGTTGATTTACTTTGAGTCTAATTGAAAATGGCACATTGAGACAAGAGATTTCAGGTAGCAATAGCTCTGGGGGAGAGGTTGGCTTGTTTGGCTGTCAGGCTATATTCCTAGAACCAGATAGCATAGAAAAAGCAAAAACAAACATATTTGTGTCCAGGGTGCAACAGCCACACAGGGCCTGAGGAAAGCAGCTGGGCCCCAGCCATTAGGTAATAGACAGGCTTAACGGGCATTTTGTTAACTTAGACAACAAAGGGTGGTAAGCACAGCACCTTTCCAAGGTAACACTGTGGAGATGAACACCGTGTTTTCATGTTGGAGTCACATAAAAAGTTCTCTGGCCTGGAAGCCCCTGTAACTTGACCACCTTTTATGATCTAGGATGTAGCACAGACTGACCTGCATTTTGGTGAGAAGTGGTTTCATAAGAGGATGGAGAAGAGGACCAGTGCTGAGAAACTGCTGCAAGAATACTGTGCTGAAACCGGGGCCAAGGATGGAACCTTCTTAGTCCGTGAAAGTGAGACTTTCCCCAACGACTACACACTGTCCTTTTGGTAATTTCATTTACTTTATTCATTTAACTGGTATTCATTGAACATTTTCTCTATGCAGTGCCAAATTTGGGCTAGGGCCTCTTAGGGGTAGAGAGATGAATAAGAGGTGCTTTCTGCCCTCCATGAACTTAAAATATAGTTGAATTTATTTTCTTTAGGAATTTGCATAATTGCAGGCCCCTAATTATCCCAAAAGGCAGCAAGTATGGTGAATAGAGTCAGTGAGGATTTGGGATCAAATCACACCCCTGACACATACTGTCTTTGTGACTCTGGGCAAGTCACTTCATCTGTCAGGACTCAGGCAACTTTCTCATTCTCTAAGTAGCAGAGCAGTTGGAGATTTTCATTGGTAGAGGGAATTTCCTCACTGGGAATTTCCTGTGCCAATGAAATCACAGGTCCAATTAAACAAAACAAAACGACCATATTTTTCAGCTCTGTGTTTCAACAGACCAATGGTTCAGCACTTCCAAATAAAGTTCTCAAAGTCACTTTCCTTGTTTGTCATCACTACCTTTTCTAGCAGTGTCCCAACAAACAATCAGAATAATAATATCCCTTAGTCAAGGTTTTATTTCCTGGCAGTCCCCTTCAAGTTGCAGTCTTGAGGAATGAGCACACTGTCTTAAAGTGAGGGCTTACTAAACTCCCCTGACTAAAGCTATGGAGACAAAAAGCTGAATTTTGCTTTTGTATGCAAGTTAAATTTCCTTTGATCATAAGATCATATATCTATGAATTTTCCAGAATTATTCAATTCATTTCAGCAAACATTTTTTTATTTTTGGTGAGGCAGTTGGGGTTAAGGGACTTGCCCAGGGTTACATAACTAGTGAGTATTATGTGCCTGAGGCTGGATTTGAACTCAGGTACTCTTGACCCCAGGGCCAGTGCTCTATCCACTGAGCCACTTAGTTGCCCCCTCAGCAAACATTTATTAAAGGCCTACTGTACATGTAGCACTGGAGTATCAGGGGCTACAAAGACAAAACATTTAAAAAGTTCCTACTGTTCCTGTCTCTTGGAGGATGTGACAAGTCCACAGATAAAGTAAATATGAGGTACTTTGAGAAGGGAGAGAGCCTGCTCAGAAACCTTAGTATCTAATCAGGTGCAAGTATGGATGCCCTTGGATGTTGGTTTTGGATATGGAAGACAAGGCCTGGTCTGTAGAGGAGAGATTGAATACCTTTGCTTAGTAAATAAAATGACTGGGCCATTGCCAGTTGTCCTGACATATTTCTTGCCCCTGGCCTCTGATGACTCTGAAGGAGAGAGTGAGGCTGATGACTTTGCACAGCCCTGCTTCACTTAAATCCAATTCACTTACAAGTGAAGACATCACCCTCCTGATGTCATTGGTCGTCTTTGAGAATGAAGGACGAACAAAAACAATAGGTAAAATGAGGAGTCGATGGAAGTGATAGGACAGTTAACACAGCTGTGGTAGCCTCCATAGTTTTCACTGTTGTGTAGTCTTGTCTCACCTAATATGAATCCAGCTGTACAGAAACATATCTTATTCATTCTCACATGTATTATTTTTTCCTTATTCATTCATTCATTTTAGCACCCAACCTGTGATTTCATTTAGGGAATTCTCAGTGAGGAAACATCTTCTCCCAAAGCAAGTTAGCACCTGCTCTGCAACTTACAATTTAGGAGAGTTGCTGATGTAGTTATGTGTGGGGAGCTAGATACATACATCTATACATACGTATATAATCAGTATGTTTAACTTTTTTATGTCATGGAGTCCTTTAATAATCTGGTGAAGCCTATGAACCTGTTCTCAGAATGATATTGAATGCATAAGATAAAATACATAGGAAACAAATTATATTGAAATATAGTTATCAAAATATTTTGAAAAATCCATGGGCTCCAGGTTAAGAACTCTGAGTGTCTGTGTATATCTATATGTGTACATATTTGTGTGTTCTATTTAAGTGTAAAAATGGAGCGGCTTGGTGGTACAGTGGTTAGAGCAGGGCTTAGAGTCAGGAAGATCTGAGTTTAAATCTGGCCTCAGATACCTATTAGCTGTGCGACCCTGGGCAAGTTACTTAACTCTGTTTGCTTCAGTTTCCTCATCTGTAAAATGAGCTGGAGAAGGAAATGACAAACCACTCCAGTATCTTTGCCAAGAAAATCCCAAATGAGGTCATGAAGAGTTGGACACAACTGAAATGACTGAACAATAGATATAGATGTTTATGTATATCTGTATACATACACACAAACATTAGAAGCAGCATGGCATACGAGACAGAATGCCTTGAAGTCAGGAAGATCTGAGTTCAAATTCCATCTTGCTAGCCTGGTGACCCTGAGCAAGTCATTTAGCCACTGTGTGTTTTAGCTAACTACCTACTTAATCTACTAAGTCACAGATGAATTAAGGTTTCCTTTGGTGAAGGGAGTTCCTAGAATAGGAGTTTCCCAAAGGTGATGAAATCACAGCCTTGTAGGTTCATGCAATCAATCAACAAACATTTACTTAAGCACTTATGTGCCAGGTACTCATTCTCTCAGAGGAGTCAATGTGTACAAATAGATGTCTATACTATATATATATGATATATATATTATATATATTTGTATGCATATATATGTGTGTGTATGTGTATGTGTATACACACATATAAGTATATATATTAACAAGGTGGCATAGGGACAAAGAGTACCATACCTATACTTGTTTGGGTAGAATTAATATATTTGGAGTCTCCTTGTTTGATTTTTTTGAAAGTAAGTTTTCCTTTTTAGATGGAAGCCTTGAAAGTGATGTGGCCTGACAGATACATCCCTTCCCTTTTCAGGAGATCAGGCAGAGTCCAGCACTGTCGAATACGGTCGACTCTTGAGGGAGGAGCCATGAAGTATTATTTGACTGACAACCTCATGTTCAACAGCATCTATGACTTGATCCAACACTACCGAGAAGCCCACCTGAGATGTGCTGAATTTGAGCTTCGTCTGACAGACCCAGTGCCCAACCCCAATCCTCATGAATCAAAAGCGTATGTCTGGCTATGTGCTCTGGCTATGTGCTCTGGCTATGTGCTCAAAAGTGTGTGTGCTCTGTGGGGTTCCATGTTGGGCTTAGTTACAGTCTCCTGGGGTGGTGGAGCTCCAGAAATGTTTGCATGCAGACGTCTCATCCCATCAATAAACAGATGTGGGGTATGGAAGGAAGCACATAGAGAGTAAGGCAAATGGTGGAGCCAGGAAAGCTCAATACCAATCATCCAAGGCTGCTCAAGAACCTTTGTTGCTCCTTTAAATTCATGCAGAGGGGTCTAATGCTCTCTTAGCATCTACCTAATGGTTTCTAAATGCTTTACTTTTCTCTCTTATGGATAAAACAACATGGGGTTTGGTTTCCAGAGGTTAATTATGGCATGGAATTTCTTCTTAACAGAGTTCCTTGCTCTTCTCTCTGAAAATGAAAAAATCCAGTCTTTCCCTTAGTTTTTATCTGTACGTTGAACCAAAGATTGGTCCTGCCTTCTGATGTTGAGAATGGAGGAAAATAAACCTCAAACAAAGAATCATTACTCTGCTAAAATTCAGGTTACCAAGCAGCTCATGTTGGATAATCCCTCTTGTTTTTAAAACTATTCCTGCATTCCCTTGTGGGTTCTTTCTTTTTTTGCCTTCTTTTGCTTTCCTTCTTTAAACACATACATATACACACACATACACGCATGAAAACAACCAAATCCTTCTGGCTGTACCCTTTGCCTCATGTTTTTCAGGACAGAAGCTGCAGCTAATGTGCCATTCTGTGATAACCAGCATGGCAGTTCTGGGCTGTATTGTTTTGTAACGATAAGCTGATTTATTCTGTGTTGCTTTAAGCAGACAAGCCATGCTGATGTTTTACCCAAGAATTTGATATGTTGCTGTATTCTTTTCCCTAAACTGCTGTCATGTGAGGCAAGATGGGGAAATCTAATACATAATTTATATGGTAATTTCTGAGACTATAATTTAGGAAACACCGCCACCCGTTACTCTGGCTGACTGGCAAGTTGACAAGCTTTAGAATCTCTCGTCTATCTTTCTCCCCCACCCGCCCCCAATGCCATGCTGCAGTTGGTACTATGATAGCCTGAGCAGAGGAGAAGCTGAAGACATGTTGATGAGAATTCCCCGAGATGGAGCCTTCCTGATTAGGAAAAGAGAAGGGGGAGATGCATATGCCATTACTTTCAGGTAAGTGTATGGGCAAACCCATATATAGTGAACAGCTCATTGGGAGGTTAAGTGAGCAAAAGTCATGGAGTCTTCTAGCTGTCATTAAATAGGACTTATATCTTCAGTGGATTCCCTTTGGCTTTCTTGGACAGTTTATGTGAAAAGAGTGAATTTTTATGAAGTCTTCCCCATGAAAAACCACAAAACTTTTTAGATGATTCTCCCTATAATTCTTAGAGAACAGAGAATCTTTCTTTCCCATTGATATTCTCTAACTTATGTTGAAGAAAATGAATGAGTTTTAAAGGTTATCTGGCCTCTGACTGCCAAGATCTCTCAACCTTTGACACAGGCATGCTTCAGAAAATAGGGAAGAGTTCAGAAAGTATTGTACTCATCACTGACCAACCCTTTGGTACAATGTACTAAGTGCCTAAAATCTCAAGCTACTTGTGACACAGCTATTATGCTTAAGATTTTACTTAGAACATGAGTAAAGGACAAAAACAGACACTCAGGACAAGCCACTTTTGTAATAGGAGTCTCCAAAATGCACATTGCTCTTCCCCAAAGTGATCTCACCTGACTCTCATGCTCTCTCTTCACATACCACGCTACATGGGTCAACCCAATACTAGTCCAAAAGTTTGGGTTCTCCCTGTTTTTCTCTGCTGCCTACAGGGAGCTTTACAGTGAGAGAGAAGCTGGTTCCTTCCTTAAGACTACTAACAGTTAGCTGCTACTTTCTTAAGAAACTGATAATAAAGATTAAAAGAGAGATGTTGGTATAGTTTGATACTATACAATTGCATCTTTGTTATCTAGAAGCTTATTATCTGGCAGTTCAATGTTTCATAGCACAATCTTAAAGTAAGATCCATAATGGTAACCCCAGAGCCTGATATGCAACTCCAGTGCCTCTTTAATCCTCAAAGAAAGAGAAGATTGTTGACATTGTCTCGGTGTACTTTACTGTATTCTGATTCTCTACAAATGGCGGACATATATGTATATGGCCTTTGTGAGTTCTTTTTGTCCTGGACCCTCCCATTCTCCATTGGTGTAGGGGAGCTGAGCTTATTGTTGCCTTTCAGGGACTGTTTGGATATATTTGTTCAGGGTCTTTGGTTGGTCCTTTTGAGTTTTCTGGAGGCTTGGAAAGAGGAGGTGTTACAAAGTGGATCTTGACTTATAGACACCATACTTTTTTTTACTATGTGTGATCTTAGAAATGTGGTCATCTCTCCAATTGTACACATCTCAGCCTATCCATTCCTTTTCATACTGTAGTCTATGGTTTCCCACAAACGTTCCAAAGATACTCTATCCAATGTACAGGAGCCATTCCTCAAGGTCTTTTTTCATTTCATAGGATTTACTTCTGTTATCCTTTATTTTTATTATATGAATGGCTCATATTCTTTTATACTCTTACACTTTCCTGGTTGATGTCATTTATGTAGTTCATTGGAATATGCTGTAGCTTGCTTACCGCCACATTTACCCTTTGGGTCACACATGATTCTGATTCTTCAGAGATTGTAGCAATCCATGATTTGTAACTATATTTGAGCATATTAGAATCAAAAGATGGGTTTTTTCACTTAGGATCTCTGCTTGGGATTACTGAAGCCACTATATGATTTCCCAGATGAAATCCACCTCACTGCCTTCCATTAGACACCATTGTCTAATAATAGTACCTTATATATCATAGAATCTCAAAGTTGGAAGTTATCTCAGGGGCCTTTTAGTCCAATGCATACCTGAAAAGGATTCTCATCTATAACACACTGGCCAAATGGTAGACTTCTAAGTGAGAGTAACTCACTACCTTCTGAGGCACCCAATTTATAATTAGAAAACACTGTCACATCCATTATCTCTCATTGGATACTTACAGTGACCTTTTGACAAAGGTAGGCCAAGTGTCATTATTCCTTTCACTTTACAGATGAGGAAACTTGGGCTGATAGAGGTGAGGTAATTTACCTAATGGTGACCCAGCTGGCACAAGTTTTGGCCCTTGGAGAACGAGCTGGTGAAGGGAAAAGGAACAGGAGGAAAACCAGACATTTCAGGGTGGTTCCACCCTTCTTTTTTCCCTGTTGCTCTGGAAAGCTATAGTCAGGTTTCTTTGTCTTTGACATAGTGAACTGGGACCCTCCTGTATGTAAGACCTAGTGAAATTAGTCCTTTATAGTATTGTTTTCTATTTTTGAGGCTATTTATTTTTCCTAGAAGATAGATTTTTGTAACTTTTATTTTCTCCTATTGATGTTAGGTAAAGGAACTTGGGGGAAATGAAGTTTGGGAGAAGTTATGGTAGGTAGTGTGACATCTCATTTCAGAGAAAATTGTGTACAATTTTAATGCATATTGACTTGATGAAGTTCTGAGGTTTGATGACTTCAGAGACATAGTATGGTATGATGAAAAGACCTCTGGGGTCTAAAGATGAACCAATTGAGTTCTGGCTCTGACATTTAGCTGTGGGACTAGGGGCAGGTCTTTAACATTTTCTTGGTCCTTCCATCTATAAAACAGGTTAATAATACTTAGACTGTCCTTTAACTAACATTTATATCATGCCTCATTACTGTTACTTGGCAATTTTCTCATGTGGATCAAGAATATTTGTAGTGAAACTTTTATTTCATTTTATTTTTTAAGGGAGATTGATTGTTATGGTTAGATGTCTTTGGAATTATCTCACAACTCTGATGGATCACATATCTTAGGTTTAGAACCCAAAGGGACCTCATAAACCATCTGGTCACCCCAGATAAAAAAACTGAGGCCCAGGGAGGGTTAAATGACTGAAATGAGGGTAAAAGTGTCATACAGCTTAAGTGGCATGACTGGGATTTGAACTCAGATCATCCAACTCCAAATCTAGCCTTCTTTTCCATGCCCCATGCTGCCTCTCATAGTTTACTTGTTGAGAACCATTCTGAGAAAGTTCCAGGAATTCACTTCCTTTTTCTGAGGCCTGGTCTCTTCATGTTGACTCCTCTTGCCCAGGAATATGTTCTGGAATCACTGATTGATGGTGAAACTCCAAGTCTTAAAGCATTGGTTGAGGGAAGGGAGAATGTTTTGGGCTCTTCAGCTGTTGTGGAAGTTATACCTATGTTCGCCTCCCTGTGAAATCCTGTCTCTCCAGAGCCAAGGGAAAAGTGAAACATTGCCGGATTAACAAAGATGGACACCACTTTGTGCTGGGGACATCTGCTTACTTTGAAAGTTTGGTGGAATTGGTCAGCTACTATGAAAAGCATGCACTCTACAGGAAAATGAGACTGCGCTATCCCGTGACTCCAGAGTTGCTGGAGCGTTACAACACCGTGAGTGATCCTCTTTTCTGGGATTCAGTGCAAGAAAAATGTCATCTAATTAAATCTGATAGACTCACTTTGGGTGAGAAGTTTGTTCTGTACGTCTTTGAAGTTTTGGAGCCAAAAGCCTATGATTGCCAGGTCTCAAGCCTGGCGTGGAGGTTACTGTCAAATTGCTTTGTGTTGCCATGTGTCCACAACCTTCACAAGGGATCACAGATTCAGAGCTAGAAGGGGCCTCAGAGGCTATCTAAACCGGAGCTGTCAAACTCACAAACTTATTATTTAACCTATAGGAATGGGCCAAAGAAGATAGAAAGGCACTTCCAGAAGTAAAATTTTCTGTAACAATTCACACAAAATGGCATAAAGCTTCAGTAAATGGGGGAGGTGTGCATTTGGAGAAAAGAATGCTATTGTCTGGCCTGCCCCAGTGCTTGATGACAAAGCAAGTCAGATGAAGTTAAGACTTTTCTCAGCATTGATCCAATTGTTGGGTGTGGTAGACAAACCTAGAAACCAGCATCCTTAAACCTGTGATCCAGGACCATTTGACTACTTGAAAATTATGTACTTACTGGCTGAGGAAAGCCGCATATGTGGTCCCTTTCCTAGTTCCCTTCTCTTCTCTTCATCATCCTTTCTATGGCCTTTTTTTTTTTATCACTTCTTTCTCCCCTAACTCCCCGTCCCTGGTTCAGTCTAGCTCTGACTGCAAATGCGTGCTTTTTTATTACTCCTTATACCCCACTCCTCTCCCTCCCCTTGTATGTCCCCATCTTCTGCCTAACAGGACCTCTTTCTTCTCTACTGTGAAAGGTGAATGAATTGTTTTTAGATTTCCTCCTGATATTTCTTACCTTCTTTCACCTCTCAAAATGTTAGACAGCATGTTCCATGCACATCTGTCCTGTGTAAGCCTCTCTTCTAATAATGAATGTCAGGACTTTCTGGTTGCTGCAGCTCTGAATTCAGCTTGAGATCTAGATCTCAATCTATACAAGAGTGGATAAAAACAAAAAGGTTTATGAAATGTGTTCTTCATAGTAAATCTGTGAGGTAAATAGTATTACTATTTTCACTTGAGATGGAGCAGTGGATAAAGTACTGGGCCAGGAGTCAAGAAGGCCCGAGTTCAAATCCAACCTCAAAAGCTTAATAGTTGTGTGATTCTCTCCAAGTCACTTAACCTCTCTCTGCCTCAGTTTCCTCATTTATAAAATGGGAATCATAAAAACAATTATCTCCCAGGGTTATTGGGAGGATCAAATGAGATAATATTTCTAAAGTTCTTTGTAAAAGTTAAAGCACTATATAAAAGTGCTATGTAAATGCTAATATAATAGTAGTAATGGTAGCTGACATTCATATAGCACTTGCTATGTGCCAGCCACTGTACAAAGCACTTTAGAAACATAAACTCTATATTGTTGTTGTTCAGTTGTTTCAGTCATGTCTGACTCTTTGTGACTCCATTTAAGGTTATCTTGGCAAGAGTGGTTTGCCATTTCTTTCTTTAGCTGATTTTATAGATGAGGAAACAGAGGCAAACAGAGTGAAATGACTTGCCTAGGGTCACAGAGCTAGTAAGTGTCCGAGAGGCCAGATTTGAACTCAGGTATTCCTGACTCTTGACCTGGAACTCTCTCCGCTGCCCCACTTAGCTGTCCCAAACTCTATATTATCATCTTCATTTTATAAATGAGGATGTTAAGGCTAGCATTATATGACTTGCCTAGTCACCTCGCTAATAAATATTCGAGTAAGTATTTGAAGCTTGAGGCAGATTGTAGGTTTCCCCTCTGTTGTGGTTTTCTAGGCTGGATGACCGTTAGTTATGTATGTTGTAGAGGAGATTCTTTTGTAGGCATGGGTTGTTTTAGAAGGCTATTGAAGTTCTTTCTAACTCTGAAATTCTGTGGTTTGGTAACTCCCAAATCCAGCTGGTTCTGTTCCACTACACTGCTTCGTGAGGCATAGAGATCTTATATATTTGAAAGTCCTATTTTCTAGTCTTCTATTGTGTGTGCGTGCATATATGTGTGTATGTGTGTGTGTGTGTGTGTTCAGGTTAAGTTTGTGATCATCGCTGAATTCCACAATTAACCTTTCTGTGGACTGTATCAGTTTTCATGAAAAACTGCCAGATTTTCACATGGTCTGTTAGCTCCAGGAACATCTGTGATTCTCCTCTTGTCTCCACCCATGACTACCTCTTGTGGGTTGTTAACTCCCTTGCCAGATTCTATATATCCGTTCTGTGTTCTCCCAAGGGAGAAGAAGCTACCAGATGCTAATTGCCATCACATTACATGCAAAGAATACCAGGAGAGCATAATGTATCTTTCCATTTTAAAATATTTTCTTGATTTCTTCTTTTCCAGGAAAGGGACATAAATTCACTCTATGATGTCAGGATGTATGTGGATCCCAGTGAAATTAACCCCTCAACGGTACAGTGTTTACTTTTCTTTAATTTAAAAAAATATTGTTCCTTATTTAGAATGTTGTGGAGAAAAATAAACATGGGAGAAATGAAAATCAAACTTTCCCCAGAAATGAGATGTCAAACTGTCAGACACATACGATCCCAATGCAGCTTTGGTTTACTGAAATCCCAGGGTTTGATTGAGAAGGTTTAGGTAAAATGATTTATAGTTAAGTTTTTATAATTTGGACATATGAATTATATTGGCTGATAATATTCATTAAATGTCTGGTTCTCTGATCTTCTGTCCCCCAATGAGAATGTTAACTGTTGTTCCATGTCCGGTTTGTCATGTGGGTTCACACCCCAACAGCTGCTGGCCATGGTCTTTTCCTTGTCCATTCTGCCTCCAGCCCCATCTCTCATGTAGACAAATGAATTTTTGTTGTTGTTTTCACCCTGCCTCTAGGGTGAAAATTAATGAGCACATTAAATGTGCTCATTAAGTGGCATTATTAGAATTCTGAAATTGTATTGAAAAATACAGTGATATTATGTGGAAGTGTAAGGGATGAATTCCTAAAAACTGAGGTTAAATTGAGTGACATATTAAATGTACTCTAGGGAGTTTCCTCTTTGAGGGATCTTAATGGTTTCTCCAGAGGATAGGACTAGGAGAAATGGGTAGAAGTAGCAAAGAACTAGCAAATCTAGGTTTAATGTCAGGAACCACCTTCCTAAGAGCAGTAAATTGAGGGGCAGCTAGGTGGCGCAGTGGATAGAGCACAGGCCCTGAAGTCAGGGGGACCTGAGTTCAAAGCTGGCCTCAGACCAAACACTTGACACTTAACTAGCTGTGTGACCCTGGGTGAGTCACTTAACCCCAATTGCCTAAAAACAAAAAAAAAAGACCAGTAAATTGGGCTGCTTGGGAGGGGTAGCAGGTTGCTTCCCATGAAGGTCTTCAGGCAAAGTCTGGATGACCATTTATTGAGTGTGTTCAAGAAGAGTTTCTTTTTGAGGGAGAGTTAGGACTAACTGGTCTCTGAGTCCCTTCTCCCTTAAAAGTTCTGTGATTCTGAATCATTTCTTAATAAATGAAGACTTTTTTTTTAAGCAGAGTGGTCACTTCTCCCTCCTTCCTCCTCAGTTTTGGAAGTTCATATTTAATTTTGCTGAGTTGTTTAAAACCAAGAAGATCTACTAGCATATTTATATAGTACCTTTCCTTCTGAAATCTCAGAGCTTATTGACATGGGCTCGATGCTCAGTGCATGTAGGCACTTTCAAGTCTACTTCTATGAATCTCGGGGGGGGGGTTCTTTATATCTGGCACCCACCCTTGGAGAATAAGAACTGAGAAAAAATCTCTTAGAGAAAGGCTGTAGGATTTGGGGCCATAGTAATGAACTCATTCTTGAGTTCCCTGCTTGTTTTTGCTCAGCCCTGATCATACCCAGCACCAACCAAGGAAGTCTGCAGTAGGAATTCATAGTGTGTCATGGGAGAATCTTGTTTTTCTTGTCTTTGCCTCCCAGTCATGTTCTGAGGAAGGGAACAGATTGCTGGAATGCTGCCCATGGTACATGCGCCCAGATAAGTTGCTTTACTCAAGTTATGAGTAAAAGAATTTAAAAGGTGAAAGAACTGTTGCATTGTCAGAAAATACAGTTTCCTTGAGAATTTCCCAAATCTTACCACTGCCAGCAGGGACATGGAGCTGACTTGACCATTTCTGTATTGTGTCTTTCCCTTTATGCATGTGTTGGGAAAAGGGATGATGACAGCTGCTAATTCCGCCGCTGCCAGTGTTTAGGTGAATGATCTGAGTCCCAGCAGCTCGGCATCCACATGGGGAAATACTTAGACAGCATTGGCCTGTGCTCAGGCCAATAGATGTTACTACACAGCCTTGAAGCAAAGCCTTCTCAGTCTTAATGAGAAGGATGTCAAATGGCTCCAGAAGCTGGACTTTTTGATTGGGACCTAACCAGCCTCCCCTCCATTTCCTTTGTTTCTCCCTGCCTCCCTTCCCCTCCCCTGCCTCACTGATTACTTTTTCTTTTCATTAAAAGCCCCAGAGAACTGTGAAGGCTTTATATGACTACAAAGCCAAGCGTGGGGATGAGCTCAGCTTCTGTCGGGGGGCCCTCATCCACAATGTCTCCAAGGAGCCTGGTGGCTGGTAAGACTGTGCCCCACATAGGCTCCTCCTGCTTCAGAGCTTTGCTGAGCCTCCTTTGGCTCTTAGGAACCATGTCAGGCCCAGGGCTGGGCCCCCTGTACCTTTCTCCTGTAGGGTATCCCTGGGGAGCTAGCAAAGTAGGGTGTGTTCTGTTACATAGGTTCTAGCTCAAGGGTGGTTCACCAGCTCTGGCTGAACACTGCCCTTTGGCTTCTCAGGTAGAGCCAATTGGTCCTGGTGGCTTTGCAGGCCAAAAGGTGCCCATGTCAAGTGAATCTCTCTGCAAATGGGGGAGGGGGAGAGAAAGCCACTGCTTGCTTATCTTTTAACCATTAGGGTCCATTCAATAGTGAGCTTTTTCCCCTTTCTTTAAAAAATATCACATTTTTGTTATGTTTTGCTTATGTATCAACTTAATATCTAAATATACCCTTTCTTCCTCCTTAGCAAGCTGTTCCTTATAACTAGGATTTAAAAAGAAAGGGAGAAATCAGTTTTGCAAAACCAGTCAACATATCAATCATATCTGACATGATTATATACTATATACATATGCATATACATACAGATATATACATATATAACGTGTGTGTGTATATATATGAATATAGGTATGAAGCATTAAGAGAATCATAGGAAGATTTACATGAATTGATACAAAGAAAAGAGCAGAACCGGGAAAACAATATAGCTGATGACCGCAGCAGTGTAAATGCTAAGAACAACAAAATTGCATACTATGTAGTTAGAATGATCAAGCCTGCCCTCACAGAACTGAGAAAATGTACCTCCTTCCCTTCTTTGCAGAATGGGGGAACTAAGTACGGAATAATATGTATGTGTGGATGTGTGTGTATATACACACATATGCAAATATACGTATACATGTTCATATTTGTATATGCATATATATATAGTATAAATTTGTATATGCATGTGTATACACACACATACACATATACACATACTTACTATCCATACCTAGTTCCCCCATTTTGTGAAGAAGAGGAGGAGGTACATTTTCTCAATTCTGTGAGGCCAGACTTGATCATTCAATTACATAGCATGCAGTTTTGTTTTTCTTAGGATTTACACTGTTGTGGTCATCAGCTGTAGTTTTCTTCCCGGTTTTGCTTTCTTTTCTCTGTATCAGTTCATATAAGCCTTCCTATGCTTCTTTTATCCCATATGTGTAGTAACAGTCCATTACACTCCTGTACCACAGTTTGTTAAATGAAGTTTTAAGAGTTCATTCATTCAATAGTGAGCCTCTTAAGAGAGGGTAGAGATTAGGGAGTTGGGGTGGGTAGTATCACAAGGCCTTTGTTTTTACCTTTGGGAAGGGCTCAATTCAACCAGTAATTATTAAGTACTTACTATGTGCAAGGCCCTATGTTAGGCACTGAGGTTACAAAGATGGGAAGAACACATAGCACCTGCCCTCATAGGAGCTAACAATCTAATGGGATGTATAGGACATATATGCTAATAAATCTGATACCTGGTTAAGTGTGATAGGTTAAAGGAGTGATCCCTACAAAACACTTTAGGAAAGTCTGAGGACTAAGAGAACACTTTTAGAGAGGAGATGGGAGCACCTCTTGTTCCTCTTAAGCATCCACACCCCCTTATCTTTCTGCCCAAGAGCTCAGGGAGGACTTCTGCTAGTCTTGCCATTCATCTCAGTTTATCCGTAACAGCTCAAACCTTTGGCCTTCTGTTCTGAAGTATTTTAGGGGTTTCTCTCCAACCAGATAAAGCATTAGAGCAGGGGTAGAGGGAGAAAAAAGAGTGATCTTCAGTCCCTGCAGCCACATTTCCCTTTGGAAATTGTCATCCCTAGCGAGCTCTGGCTGCCTTTGACCGGGTAACCAGCTGCAGCTTTTATCTCGCCAGGGAACCAGCACAACAGCTGGGGAAGTAAATGGCTGTGCAGGGATCATTAATACCCTTCACACAAAGGCTTAATAGTCCTGTGCTTTATTTAGGTGGAAGGGTGATTATGGAGGAAGGATTCAGCAATATTTTCCATCTAATTATGTGGAGGACATATCAACAGTTGATTTTGAAGAGATGGAAAAACAGGTGAGCCTGGATAATGGTCACAAGGAAGTTGCCTGTCCCCTTTTATGAACTGTACCAATAGACAGATTTAACTTGAGCTGTCATGTTGTTCTGGCGGAGATTCAACATGAGCAAAATATAGTACAATGAATTCATTATTTCATTTCGTCACCACGCATTTATTAAATGCCAAGCGCTGTGTTCGGCTTTAGAGATACAGAGACAAAAATGAAACAATCCTTGCCCCTGAGGAGCTTTCATTCTACTATGGGGATATGACATGAAGACAGATGGTGAAAACAAAAGGGTAATTTGGGGAGTAGGGGGTAGCTAACCCCTGGAGGAATCAGCAGAGGTCTCTTATTGGATGCAGCACTTCAGCTATGCCTTGAAGGAAGGGAGATATGGCAAAAATGACAAAAATAAAGATTCTAGGCATGGAGGATATCCTATACAAAGGTAACGAGGCAAGAGATGGAATGTTGTATATGGGAAATTCTAAGTAGGTCATTTTGATTGGAATATGGTGTGCATGAAAGGTAGTAATATGTCTGCAAAGACAGGTTAGATCTAGATTGTGAAGGACTTTAAATGTCAACAAAGGAGTTTGAATTTTAACCTAGAAGTAATAAGGAGCCACTGAAGCTTCTTGAGCGTGGGAGTGACATAACTAGATCTATGCATTAGGAATTTCATTTTTGGAGGATGGATTAGAGAGAGGAGAGATATGAGGCAGGGAAACCAATTAAAAGGCTATTACAGTAATCCAAGTGAGACGGCCTGGATTATTCTGGAGTCATTGCAGCCAACCAATTTTGTTTTAATCATGTTGTCCTGGAAGATTTTGAGTGGACAGGATAATTTCCTTCAGATGGAAAATGACTATGGTAGCAACCTGTCCCCTGCTTAAAGTAATCTTACAGATTAAATGCTTCTGCCTCAGTTGTTCTGGCATTAAGTATACCCTGAGAGTAATTAAAGTAGCAAGTAGAACTGAAAGGTGGATAAGATGAGATGAATTAAAGTTTAATATAAGGGTTCATCTATGGTCTAGCATTCTGTTGACTGGAAGGTCTCCATAACCAGAGCTTCTGAATTTTACTACACAGTGTAAATACTGCAGTGGAAAGAGTTCTGGGTATGGAGTCAATGGATCTGGGTTTAAACCCTGATTCCATTACTTGTTACCTTAATGACCCTGGACGAGTTGCTTAGCCTCTCCTGGCTTCAGTTTCCTGTTCTGCTAAACAAGGAGTTAGACTTGATGACTTGTAAGATTCTTTCTAGGTCTAAATCTAGGATCCTATGAATAGTCATTGATGTATTTTTTTAATTAATAAATTTATTTATTTTTAGTTTTCAACATTTACTTCCACAAGATTTTGAGTTCCAAATTTTCACCCCATCTCACCCCTCCCCCCACCCCAAGATGGTATGCATTCTGAATACCCCTTCCCCTAGTTTGCCTTCCCTTCTGTCTCTTCCCCCCTTCTCTTATCCTCTTCCTCTTCTATTTTCCTGTAGGGCAGGATAGATTTCTGTACCCCATTTCCTGTATTTCTTATTTCCCAGTTGCATGTGAAAATTTTTTTTTAAGCATGTGTTTTTAAAACTTTGGGTTCCAAATTTTTTCCCTTCCTCCCTCCCTACCCACCCTCATTGAAAAGGCAAGCAACTCAGTATAGGTTATACATGTGCAGTTAAGTCATTGATATTTGTAATAATGACCTTTGTGCCCTGCAGGGCTAAAAGGGTGTCCTGAACAATTAGAGGGAGACTAAATTAAGCTGCAGATTATTCTAAATATATTTTCTTGTGCTTTAATTCTTTGAAAATTGGGAACCCATAACTTATACATATAGGACTACACATTAGCCAAGATGCCTCATTCCACAGTCATGGAGGATGATGGAGAAGTTGCAAAGAGCAGACTGAATGAAATGGCCCCAGATTTCCTTTAGAGTTCATGATGCACATTTTTGTAAGCTGAAAAATGACCCACTGTGAATGTTTCAGGCCTCTACTAGCAACAAGGTCACTGCAAGCTCTGTGCTTCATTCCTTTTCCATCTGCCTATGGACATATTTATCCTGTAAAGAGGATGAATTTTAAACAGGGCCATGGGCAATGTCTCAGTTCAGTGGTATGATTTTGAATCTGGTTGTGTTTTTAGTGTTCTAGTTAGGAATAATGTGAATTGTTCTTCAGGTTTCTTGAAACTACTCTTGTCTTTCCACAGATTATTGAAGATAACCCTTTAGGATCTCTTTGCAGAGGAATCTTGGATCTTAACACCTATAATGTTGGTGGGTAATCATCATAGTCCTAATCTTTATTGTTAATTCCCACACAGCCTTAAGATCATTCCTGAGGGCAACCTGACAACTTTTGTGATTCCTAAATTTCGTGGCTTATTCTGCCTTCCTATGCTTTTCTAGAAAGTGACCAAAGGGAGCTGGGGAATTGGTGTGAAGGGCCAGACATTGTTTGTTGGGTACAGTAGCATGGGGGCAGGGTCATCAGTGCATGTAGGAGAATGAACATTGTATTATGAGTCAGGAGACGGGGGTTCTGGCTTCTGTTGCCTTCCCCTTAAAGTTTTGTGATTCCTGATCTGGTGCTCTTTCCTACTACTGCTGTCCCCTTAGTAGATATTCTCTTAGGTGGGTTTCATTGTTTTTTTGAATGGATTTTCATCCTTTTCCAATGTTTGAGACAAGCCAGTTCATTTCAGCCTTAGAAAGGAAAGATTTTTTTTTTGGTTATTGTTAATTAATGCCTATTTTCACATTAAGCATAAAATACTTTTTAATGAACTGTTTTTTAGGTCTGTGTTTCTCAATCCAAACTATACTGTGGATTTAATAAATAAAGTATATGCTCATTAAAAATTTATATATGTGTACAGTACACATATATATTTATATTTATGCGCACATGCACATATATAAACATGTATATACACACCTACATATACACATGCATTTTTTACTCCAAGGCAGAAGTGTGCCCTCCATAGCCTTAAGAATGGACAGAAAAAAGGAGGGTTCTGGGAATGTTAAGGGCTGAAGGCCAGGAGGAGCAATCAGCTTTTTAAATATTTAAGTTTTAAGAAGTAATGACCTATGGTAGTAAAAGCTTGGCAGACTGCTGTCTACCACCATGAGCTGGTAATTGAGTAATACACTTTAAGGGGGAAATATACTATTTCTGTTATGGGACTACATCTTTTATTCATGCCCCCCACTCATTTTAAACATACAGGCATATTTGCATACATGTCCTTCTTTGGGTGGGTGACAATTGATGGTATCCATGTTCTTGAGTAACCATATCCCATAAGGAGCACTGCCTCTTGGGAAGGCGACTTGGGGATTGAAGCAGGGTTCGGGTAGTATGAGTGCCCTGGCCTCCTGGAACACTGTTGTTTTTGTTCTCTCCAAGTGAAAGTACCACATGGAAAAAACCAGAAATCATTTGTCTTCATCTTGGAACCCAAGAAACCCAATGATCCTCCCATAGAGTTTGCGACTGACAAAGTGGAAGAGCTCTTTGAGTGGTACCAGAGCATCAGGGAAATCACCTGGAAGAATGCAACAGTGGTATTGAGCTTTGCCATTTGGGTTCTGTTTGTAGGGGTCTAGTGTGACAGCTAAGGCCTTTGAGTAGTGGAATTGTGCCCTAAATTCTTGCTATTCCTGCTAGCATTCAGAGGGAAACTCTTAGCTTTGGATCAGACCCATGTGAGGGTCAACTGCAGACACTGGTGAGCACTAGACTATTAGGTGGAATGATGGCTTTCCAGAGCCTCATGCTTTCATGAGAGTGAAAGGGCAGGGGTAGGGAGGCCTGTTCACCATTGTCAACTAGGTGGTCCATGATTCCATCTGTGTTGGTCAACCCATTTGTATTAAGACAAGCTGCCACCTTAATTTTATGGCTTAATAGGTTCCAAACATTTTGCCAGAGCATGATAATTAGATGGGCCCTAACCATTGAAGGAACCTCTGTTAGAAATCATGACTTTTGAATTAATTGATTATGTATCTAGAGATGTTTGGAGAATATTAAAGTCATTGTCTCTTATAGAGTATGGTAGGAAGGAGAGAAAGGGAGATTTTTAGCTGTTTGACATCTCTTCTCCCTGCCATATAAATGGAAAGGAACTTTTTGAAAAATGGCCATTTTCACAAATGTTGAGCATTAAATATATTTGGAATAACAGAAGGATAAATAATTTCTTAGGTACAGTTAAGTACAAACCAAAGAAGTACTTTGATGGACCTTGTGAGAGCCCTATTTCATCACTGAGGATTTTTCTTATCACTAAATTATATTTTGTAATAAGTTTGTTGATGCCCCTGATCCTAGGTAGAACTTCACCTTAGATGGTCTTAAGGGACCACTTACTGTTCTTAAGTTGTAGTGGATGAATTTCCAACAATAAAGCAGTCATAGGATCATAGATTTAAAGTTGGAAAGGACCTTAGAGGCTGTCTGGTCCAATTCCCCTATTTTACAGATGAGAACACTGAGGCACAGAGAGTTTAAGTTACTTGTCCAATGAACATCACACAGATAGTAAATAGCAGAGCTGGGATTTAATCCGAGGTCCTTTGACTTCAAATCCATTGTCCCTTCCACTATAGCTGTCTTCCTGAACATCTGTCTTCTGCCTCTGTGTTGAATGGGACAGTTTCTGAAACACCATCATGTTTTGTGCTTCCCTTCTGGACTTGTTCATAGGCAACCAGAGCAAATACCCTGTGAGAATCATGGCCATAAGCCACTCCAGAGAGAAGTTTTCCTCATTCAGACCTCTCTGGAGGTGGTCCTTTGATAGTCATCTTGGAGTTGCAGCCAAGTGTCTTTCAAGTCTTAGAATCAGACTGAAGGGCTCTCACACTGAGCTCTTGCTTCACAAGCTGAGGAACTATATCAGGCATGAGGTGGCAGAGCTGTTCAGTGCACACCTGCCCATCTTTGTGGCTCATCTGATCATAGGTATAGGAATGGAATGGACCATGGACCTCTTCTGGCCAACCTTCTTATTTAACAGATGAGGAAACTGACACCTAAAGAGGTTAAGTGAATTACCCAAGGTCACACAGCTATTGAGTTGGGAGAGCTGCCCTAGTTTCAACCAGAATTGAACCTAGTTTGTCTGACTTGAAATCCAGAGGTATATATACATCTTCTCTTTGTGTCCTAAGATAGCAATGCTGCACTTTAAGAGTCGTCGATACTTCAGGGTTTCAACAGTATTCTCTAGAGATCATTCTTAAGGGTCTCCTCACTCATTTTCTCTCCATGTTTTAATGGTTATTAGTCATAGGAATACAAGTCTGTCTTTAACAGACTGAGCTATTCCTTTCCCAGGCTTATACTCTATTTGGGACGATTGAAACCATTTCTGCAGGAGCTGGGTATGTTACTACTGTATGGAAACTTCAGAGGGAATAATCTAAAGGTAGTAGACACTTAAAACACATTTCCATTGTGCCCAAGGCGTTGCTGTGAAAATGGGGCCAAATATAAGATGTAGAAAAGCTTAACTTTGAAAATCATTTATTTGTCGTCTCCTCTGGCTTTCTGCAGTTTTGTTGATGGGATAAAGGGTAATTTCCTTGGAAAGTTCTTTTTTTTCCCCTACTGCTTAATAACCTGAAATCATCCTGGTCACTTAAGCTATCATGTTCTCTCTTTGATCTAAACTACCCCTTAATTGGATTTTACATTCATGTGAACATAAAAAAAATAACCTCGTACTATTATACTTGAGAGCAAAAAATGAGTCACTGGTGTTGACTTTGTACCCACTGTAACCAAAGCTGCTTAGGATTGAAGGTTGTTAGGAGAAGGGGGAGATGTTTGGAAAAAAAGCCTGCTTCTTGTCCTCGATCTGGCTCAACTAAATACGACCAAGGAAATAGAGTTGGAAGTGACCTTACAATCACTTCATCTAATTCCCTTATTTTCACCCACTAGGAAACTCAGGCTTCGAGAGGTAAAGGACTTTTCTAATATCATATCATAACTGCTGGCAGAAATGGGGTATAGAACCCAGATTTCTTTGTTCCCAGTAAAGGGACTCTTTCCATTACACCCCAGGCTACCTCTCAGCCACAGCTTCCTATAGTATTTCCGTTTCAGTTTTACCTCTCCCTCAAAGAACAGTTTCTAGCCTACTTTTTTGTTTGTTTTTATTTATTTATTTATTTTTTTTTTAAGATTTTTTTTTTGTGTTTGTTTGTTTTTTGAGACCAAGTCTTTCCACCTCACTCAAGCTGGAAGGGCAGAGGCTACTCATGGCAGACCCTGCCATGAGTAAACTCTGACCTATTCTGTTTCCAACCTGGGCTGCCTCACTCTTCCTTAGGCAGCCGGGTGTCTCCCCTTCCCACTTCCCCAGGGGCTTACATATTGGTGCCAGAATTAGTGTGGATGCCCAATTGGCTTTGACCCTATTGCTGCTCAGAACTCTGGCGTTCAAGTAATCTACCAGCCTGAGCCTTAGCAGAAGGGGTGCCTCAATCTTCTATAATCTTAACAATCTGCAGTGATCCCAACATGTCCAATTATGTGATCAAAGAGACTTGATAATTCATTGGCCTCCAAAGGTAGGCTGAAGACTAAGCACTGGGGTGTTGAAGGCAGTGAGTTTCCTAAACTTGAATATATTAGATTAGAATAAATAAAGCATTTATTAGGTACTTTTTCTGGGCGTGATGTTGTGCTAAGTGCTGGGAATAAAAACAATAGAAAACAGGACAGTTCCTGACTTCAAGAAGCTTACGTTCTAATGGAGGATGACAATACTTGAAGAGGAGAGATGTCCAGTTAAGTCAGTCAACAAATATTTTATTAGGTGTGTAAGCAAAAACAGTCCCTGCCCTCCAGGAGCTTACATCCTAAATGAGGGAGATGACATGCAGACAACTATGTACACACAAAATATTTACAGAGTAAAAAGAAAGTTACCTCAGAGGGAAGACATTAGCAGTGGGCAGGGAGAGCCAGGAAAGGTCTCTTAGAGAAGATGGAATTTGAGCTGAGTCTTAAAGGAAGCTGGAGATGCCAGGGAGGTGGAGATGAGGAGTGAGAAAATTCTAGACCTGGGGGACACCCTGTCGCAGTCAGGAGATGGGAATGTCATGTGTGAGGAAAAACAATAAGGCTAATGATGCTGAATTTTAGAGTACAGAGAGGGGAGTAAAATGTGAGAAGACTAGAAAGGCAGGAAGGGCTGTAAAGGCTAAATGAAGGATTTTGTATTTAATCCTAGAAGTAATAAGAGTCTACTAGAGATTATTGAGTACAGAGTAGCATGGCTCATTCTATGCTTTAGGCCAGAATCACTTTGGCAGATGAATGGAGGTTGGACTGGAATGGGGTAGAGGCTCAAGGTAGGGAGGCCAATCAACAGACTATTGCAGTAGTCCAGACTTGAACTGATGAAGATCTGTGGAGGTCTAGAATTGAGCAAAAATAGGCCAAAACTGGCCTATCAAAAATTGGACAGAGTCCAATTTCTGGTGGGGAAATAGTGGAGGTGATGATTCTAGTGGAGATGTCTAGGTAGTAATAGATAAAATGAATTTCCTTCCTATGTCAGCTGGGATGAGAGGGCCTTTTGCCACAAGGTTGGAGTAGTCAGCCTTAGAGTATTTGCAGAAACAATTGGAGTTTCATCTCAGAGTAATAATTTCTCCCTTTTAACAAGAATGAGGTGAAACTTCATTAGTTTGTATATGAATGAGGTGTGAAGGCAGTAATTAGTCATAGGTTGGGGCATAGGGGCCAAGGCTGGGGGTGTGCTCATTTAAAACTTATACTCAGAAATATGAGTTATGTTCTCATGGAATTTTGCCCTCTCCATATAGAGATGCATATTGAAAGAGGAGTGTCTTGAGAATAAAGCCCATTAGTGTGGGCTGGTAGGTGTGAGGCCTGAAGAAAATTAGCCAGACTTCAGGGCTGGAGGGAAGATAGAGAACTTTTTTTTTAAAAAGTAAAAATCCTAAAATGAAAAATCTGACTCCCTTGACACTGTCATTGAGACACAACATTGTGAGAAGGAAGGCCTGGTGAAATTGTGCTGATCATGAAAATTGGTTACTGGGCTGTCTTTATTCCAAACAGGAGACCAACATGAAGTATTGGGAGAAGAATCAATCAATTGCCATAGAACTATCCGACTTAGTCGTCTACTGTAAGCCAACAAGTAAAACCAAGGATAATTTAGGTAATTCCTTCATTTTATAATCTTGGTTCACTCCTGGGTAGATGCTCTTATTTAAGTCTGGCAAAGGACAATATTATAGCATTTGGAATTTCTGGGCTCCAGATGGAAACAGTGCTCTAGGCAGGATGACAATTCCTCCCACATATAGGCTCATCTTGCACTGGGTCACAAGGAAGATGGGGATAAAGGACAGGGAACATGTGACTCCTGCCTGTCCTGTCCACCCAGCAGGCAGTATGGTATAGTAGAAAGAGCCCTGGTCTTGAAGTCAGATGACTTGGATTCAAGGGTTGATTCTGCCCTTTGCCTACCAAATGGTGTTGGTCAAATCACTTCCTCTTTGAGCCTTAATAAAGCTTTTTCTTATCTGTAAAATGGGAATGGTAATCTTTATATTACTCACTTTACAGGGTTGCTAGGAAGATCAAATGATAATCATTTCTACAAAATGCTTTGTAACTATAAAATGCTGTGTTAAATATTAGCCATTATTATCACTAAGTTCCTTTCAGGAACCAGCAAGATGGAGCAGGGCTGAATATGGGGGGGGACAAGGGGTGGGTGAGAGCATGACCATTCCTGTCTCCGAGCAGGTGGCTCCTGGCAGATGGTCAACGGAGCCAAATCAGAGGCAGTCTGTGCACCAGAGTAGCCTGTTCATTTATTCATCAAACATCTGTTGGGTGCCTACTAGGAAAGCACTTTTTAAACTTCAAAGTGCCATATAAATGTGAGTGATTATTATCACTGTGCACAAGGCTCAGGATTATGTCACTTGTTCATTGAGCCTGTTCCAGTCACAGGCAGGTTTTTTTGTGATAAACTGGAATTCTATTCTAGAGGGAACTTTAAGAGCGCAGAAATCATACTAAAAACTCCCTGCATTTCTATGGCACTTCATGGTTACAAAGCTCTTCCCCATGCATGATTGCATTTGATCCTCAAAACAACCCTGTCATGTAAGCAGTACAATTATTATTTGTCCTTCTTTTACTGATGAAGAAACTGAGGCACAGAGAAGTGAGGCCACACAGCTAGCAAGTATGTGTAAAGTGTTTAGATTTTTTCAAGGCTACCCTCACCCCAGGAGAGAATGTAATTCAGTGAAGCAGAGTGGTCTTCCAGCAAGCAAGTAGGACAGGTAGCAATAGCGGGCATGAGGGTCTTTTGTAGCAAACTTTTCCTTCTATATTTCACAAGAGGAATATGGTTGACTTAGTTGCTCTAAATCGAGGAGACAGTTTCCTTGGGCCATGTCATATGGCCAGGCTATGAGGAAATAGTGTTCCAATAAGGTCCCTAGTATTTCCAGTAATACACTGACTTGGGAGGGTTCACTGAGAACTTTTATACCAGAATCTATATAATAGCAAGGTGAATCATGGTGAGCTCTGCCTTTTTCACCTCTTCTCACCCTTCCCATCCCCCTTTCTTGAAAGTATCCTACCTTTATGGCAGGCATTTAATTTTTCAAAATTCTAGCCCAGCTTTGATGCCCTGAGAGTGTGGGGCAGTGGTCTTGGGGTATGATAACTAACATCTGTAATTTCAAAATGGGATGGCACTGGTATGCCCAAGGCAATAGTCTTGTCAGATTACTGGGGTTTATCTTTCAGACCCAGCATCCAGTCTTTGCATGGTGGGTTAGAACTGAACTGTGATTGTGACTGTGTCATACTCTTGAAGTTAAATGTCAATTTCATTTCCTTTCCTATATGTCTATGCAGAAAATCCTGATTTCAGAGAAATTCGCTCTTTCGTGGAGACCAAGGCCGACAGCATTGTTAGGCAGAAGCCAATTGATCTCTTGAAGTATAATCAAAAAGGACTGACTCGGGTCTACCCAAAAGGCCAAAGGGTGGACTCATCAAATTATGATCCTTTTAGACTTTGGCTCTGTGGCTCTCAGATGGTCGCTCTGAATTTCCAGACAGCAGGTAAGGGGTCTCCAAGGATGGCATTGCTTTTTCAATCTGAGTGTGGCCTGCTGAGTACTTTGTGAAGGGTGTGTCACTTCTGAGCCCCCTGAAGTCAGACAAAACAGCAGCCACAGGTGCAGAACTGCTGCTTAGAAAGAAATAGAGAGCCATTGAGCTAGGTTTAATGACCAACTGAAGATTAAATGTTGGTCTATTAAATTATTTTCTGGCCAGGCTAGCATGTTGCATGTTAGCAAGCAAACCCTTAGGTGCTGCCCATTTCCTTCTCTTAGCTTTTTTGGAATAATGGTGGAAGAGAGGCATTAGGGATGGGGAGAATGTTAAAGTGACTGAGGAGAACAGAATGATGTGGGGAAGAGCATATGGGATTGGTGAGCCTGCTGGTAGAAGACAGTGATGCTAGGGGTGTGGGCATAGAATCCTAAGACTATCAAATGGGAAAGCGTCTTTGAGATCATCTAGCCTAACTCCCTTGTTTCATTCATTCATTCATTCAAACATTAATTACTTACTATGTATGGAGCACGATGCTAGGTAAGTTTAAACATAGCCTAATTCTTGTTTGCACGAAGCATAGTCCCAGTCCTCATAGGATTTGCAGTTTAGAAGGGACCAAAGAAGACAGATCAAAGAGTTTACAGCTTTTAAGATTTACGTAAGATGTTGTGCTTAGCTTCATGGAGTGTGTGGTCTAGTAAAGGGATATAACTCACAAAGAGATACCTCTACTACACAAAGTTATATGATAATGCATTTCACAAAGGGGAAGAATGACTTTATAGAATCTCAGAAGTCAAAGAGACCTTGGGGCCCATCTGGTCCAATTTACATGTGGACTAGAACATCGATAACATCACTGACAAGTGCTTGTCTACCCTTAACTTACAGTACAAGGGAATCTGATATCTCTCAAAGCTTCCCATTGCACTTTGGGATATTTTAATTGTTAAGAAGTATTTCCTTACATTAAGCCTAACGTTGCCTCTTTACAATTCCCTCCTGTTACTCTAAACTCTTCCCTCTAGAGTTAAGGAGAATGAAGTCAAATGCCTCATCCATACAATGGCTGGTCCAGGTAAAACTTCCCTAGTTCCTACACTCCTCCTTTTTTGGCATGAACTTCAGACCCTTCACCATCTAGATTGTCCTCCTCCACTGTGTGCTTCCCATGTCATCAATGTCTTTGCTAGTGTGCTGGTATCCCAAACTGAAGACAGTACTCTAGATGTGGTCTGTCTAGGGCAGAATACACTATATGGCCCTATAGCCATCCTGTAGATTCTGCCTTTCTTAATGCACCCTAAGATCAGATGAATTTTTTTGCCTTCTGTTTTGTACTTGACTCATATTGTGCTTGTAATCCAATTACATTTTATCCTGTTAGAATTGGCCCATTGTTCTGGTCTCCAATGATCTTTTTGGTTTCTCATTCTCTTAATTGCCAAATGTTAACTACTTCTTCCAGCTTTGAGTCATTTGCAAATTCTGTAAGGATTCCAGTTATGTATCCAAGTCATGTGAAACAGAATAGAGCCAAGTACAAAATTCTAGGTCATGCCGCCAGAGAACTCTCCTTAAGTTGGCGTAGACCCATTAATAACTATTCTTTTGGTCCAGCCATTCAGCCACTTCTGAATCTCCCTAACTGTATTATTATCTAGCTGATAATCTCTTCCTCCTACCCACAAGAATCGTATGAGAGACTTTAAGTGTTTTGCTAAGACCTTGGTAAATTATGTGTCTGGTATTCCCTTGATCAACCAATCTAGTAACCCTGTCACAAAAGGGAAATGCAGTGAGTCCAGTATGGTCAACTCTTGGTGAAGGCGTGCCCAAGGTCACACACTTAGCTAGTGGCAGAGCTAGGTTTAGAATCCAGATCTCTTGATATATACATAGTCTAGTGCTCTTCTGACGAAATCATACTGACTTGATTGAGAGGTAGGACCTCTTAATTCATTGAATAAAAAGGAAGATACCTAAAGCCCACCAGTGTGGGTCCTGGATCACTCAGGTACCATTCTGAGGCTTGTCTGATGCTCCTCTGTGTCCCTTACCTTTCCCACCCAGTCCCCACTGTGATAATTGCCTGAGGCAATAATAGTAGTAACTAATATTTATATAGCACTTTAAAGTTTGTAAAGCATTCTACATGTGTCATCTCACTTGATCCTTACAACAATCTTGTCATATAGGTGTTATTATTATCCCCATTTTACAGATGAAGAAAGTGAGGCTGACAGGCTAAATAATTTGCCCAGGTCATACAACTAGTAAGTGTCTGAGACAGGAATTTGAATTTAGGCCTTCCTGAGTCCACATATAGTGTTTTATGCATTGTGCCTTGAGGTGATGCTCTTGGGGTAGACGTGTCAGGTTCCTAGTTTCCACATTTCCCAGGACACACTAAATTCCCTGGATCCTTTTTCATTTATATGGAGAAGCATGTGGGGAACACTGAGAGATATTGAAGGGGAGAAGAAGGATTGCCATGCTGCCTCTAGAAGAGCTAGGCATCTGTGCAGGGTAGGAACTCCCCCTTGGGCTGGTGGGGGCCTAGGCTTATAAGACTGTACTTAGTTTTTCATATCCACGAAAATAACTTCTTTTTTCTTGGTTCTCTTTAAGACAGTAAAGACAGAATAGCTGAGCCCTGGATAGTAGTAGCTCCTGAATAGCTCCCCTAGTGACCCCATGGATAAAGTGACCCAAGCCCCTGTCCAAGTGCTGCCCTTGCTGAGGAGGCACCAAAGCATAGTTACAGTGTGGCCTCCCCATCCATCCATGCCCCTTTGGACTGCCCCTCTACTTCCTTTCCTAATTGACCAAGCTTTATGACTTAAGGCAAGGTGAGCTGAACAGTGGTCATGATGCCCTGGGTTCACCTCATTCCCTGCATGTGAGGAGGGGTAAAGGTGAAAGGGAAGCCCTTCTGGTTGATGTGAATGTCACTGACATTTCACTTTAGAGCAAAGGTTCTCAACTTGGGATCTGTGGCTAGATTTCACAAGCTCTGTGGATTATTTTTTAAGATTTTAACAATTGTACTTTAATATAATTGGTTTACTTTGTTATCCTAAGTATTTTATTTTGTGCATTTAAAAAAATTAGTCTGAGAAGGGGTCCACAGGCTTCACCAGAGATCACCATTGGGCTCCATACCTCAGTAAAGGGTGAGGTACCCTACTCTAGAGATTGGAGAGAACATGGCTGCATCCTAGAACCTCAGGCTTAAAATGAAGCACTTTTGACCATTGAAACAGGACCCTGGCCATTCCTCACCTTCACTGAGCAAGTTGCAGGGCCTATATGGGCTCATCTGATTTCTTAACAGAATGCTCTTTTCTCTTGTTTTTATTTGCACCACCTTCATTTCCTCCCCAGATAAATATATGCAGCTGAATCATGCTTTATTTGCACTTAATGGCCGGACCGGCTATGTACTGCAGCCTGAAAGCATGAGGAATGAAAATTATGATCCAACACCCCCAGAATCACAAAGGAAGATCCTGATGACCCTGACGGTGAAGGTAAAACCAGCCCTTTCCTCCTGGCCATTTAAGGCAATAGCAGGACAGAGCCCAGGGGTTAGGGATCCCATTTGCTGTAAAAAACACAAGGACAGTAGGAAGGCTTGCCTTTGATGGGGAAATCACCACTTCTTGGCATGTAACTATTGAATTCTCTGCTGAAATGCATTTCTTTCCTTATTTCAACAATGTATGGTTCAGGAAAAAGACATTCCTTCTCTCAGTGGCTTGTACAGTGGCTTTGGGGGGAAACACATTCGGAAACCAACAGCTTGAACTGTGTATGCCCTGTTCTCATTAGAGAAGGTGAATTATGAGCTAACTTTGATTGGCAGTGGCTCTGGTAGCTCAGCAGGCCTGCCTGCCATGGGGCAGAAATCTGTTTGGCTTCTTAGGAAATGCAGGCAAAAGCAAGATAGCAAAACAAAACTAACAAAAAAAACTAAAAAATCAAATCCCCACCCGTTTTCCCCAAAGGTTAAAAAAAATCCAGTCTTACTTTTCTGGAGTTCCTGGTTGGAGTTTATCATTAAAAATCATTATGGTTTATGGTGGTGTCAGACTTTCTCTTTTCACCTATGGTTTGTGAGCACATTGTCTTCATGTGAATTTTTTTCTCTTCTAAGAACTGTGAGAGGAATAAAATACCTGCATTGAGTTTCTCATAAGATTTGAGGAAGTCCAGAAATCAAACTCATGTAACAAAAGGGTTTAATTTTGTAAAAAAATTATCCTTTGTTTTTGTTATTACATTTCCCAATATGTCTCTCACTTTCATCTTCCTCTTTTAACAAAGAATAAAAAAGAGGGGAAAAAAAGTTTAGCAAAACACCAACAAAGATATGTAGAGTTTGTTGTTTAGTAATTTTTTATTTCAGTTGTGTCCAATTCTTTGTGACTCCATTTGGAGTTTTCTTGGAGAAGATACTGGAGGGGTTTGTCATTTCCTTCTCCAGCCCCTTTTACAGATGAGGAAACTGAGGCAAACAGGATTAAGTAGCTTGTTCAGGGTTACACAGCTAATAACTATCTGAGGCCAGATTTGAACTCAAGAAGATGAGTCTTCCTGACTTCAGGTCCAGTGCTCTGTCTACTGTGCCATGTGTCTTTCCCTGCACTACAACTCATTTGGCCATTATCCAATTGATAGGCATCTACTTTATTTACAATTCTTTGCTTCTGCACAAAGTGCTGCTATAAATATTTTGGCATATATAAGACCTTTCTTTTTATATCTCACTTTTCCGGGGTATAGGCTTCTTAGAGAGGGATCTCTGAGTCAAAGGGTATGGACATTTTAGTCACTTTCTTAGGGGAGGAGGGAAATAAACATTTATATGATACCTGCTATGTATGAGGCACTATACTAAATGCTTTTTAAAAAAAATTATCTCATTTGATATTTCCAACAACCCTGGGAGGTGGCTGCTATTAGTATCCCCACTTTGCAATTGAGGAAACTAAGGCAAAGAGAGGTTAAATGACTTTCCAAAAACCACACAGCTAGTAAGTGTCTGAGGCTGGATTTGAATGCAGGCCTTCTTCATACCAGGCCCGGCCTGGTATCCTCTGTGCCACCTAGCTACCTCTAGGGCGAACAGAAGTTAAGTGACTTGCCAGGATCACACAGCTACTAAGTGTCTGAGACCGAATTTGAACTCAAGTCTTTTCTGACTCCAGGCCTGGAGCTCTATCCACTGTGCCACTAGCTCCTTTCTTGTTTCTCAGAATGGTTGGATAATTTCATAGCTACCCCAATAGTGCAAAAGTGTGCCTGTCTTTACACAGCCCTTCCAACATAGTCCCATCCTAACAAAGACCTTCAATAAAGATCAACTACAGATGAAATGCTATATTCCTCCCATTCTGTCCTTGAATTTGTGGCACTCCCAAGTGACTGAATATATGCATGTACATATTCACCTTCCTACAGCTGGAGTGAGCAGTGGGGCTCTGAAGCTACTCTACTCTCTGTTACAGAGTAGGTTTCAAAATAGAAAGACATGAATAGCAGATAAATGGAGGAGCCATTTCATACCTGCCAGTCTCATACCCTGGACACATGCTCCTTTTATCCGTTTCCTTCCTTCATAAATACAAATAACTAGTAACAACTTGGGCAACTAGGTGGCACAGTGGAGAGGGCTCTGGGCCTGGAGTCAGGAAGAGTTCAGATCTGACCTTCAGACACTTACTAGCTGTGTGACTCTGGGCAAGTCACATAACACTCTGTTTCAGTTCTTCATCTGTAAAATGAGCTAGAGAAGGAAATGGTAAACCGCTGTTGAAAACCCCAAATGGGGTCATGAAGAGTTGAATATGACTGAAACAAATGAGCAACAAAAGTAAAACTTATCAGCACCCAGGAATTTTTCCTAGCCACCTTCCCCACTGAAAGAAGCACAAGGAATAAGCCCCTGAGAGCAGACTGGCATCTGTGTTGATGCTCTGAAGATGAAAGACTGTCCAAGGTAACAAGCAGCTGATGAATACTCACTTCCAACAAAATGCCTGGATGTCTCATCAGCTCTTCCGACAAGCCACAGCAGAGATGGGATCTTTGGAAGGAATAGTGTCTTTGGCAAATCCATGGCACGTTAGAAACAGATGGAGTCATATCATTGGTCCTTCTACATAAAAGAGAAGAGTAGCTTCTCTGGGTGTAACAGAGCTTTCAACTTTCATGGGAATGACTTAGTTGCAGTTAGTGCTGTGAAGAGTGTAGAACACAGCAGGGGGAGGGGGCCCAGGAATGACTGATGTCCTTTGTGTCCTAGGTCCTGGGGGCTCGCCATCTACCCAAGCTTGGACGAAGCATTGCTTGTCCATTTGTAGAGGTGGAAATTTGTGGGACTGAGTATGATAACAACAAATTCAAGACGACTGTAGTGAGTAAGTATGCTAATAACCTTCCTTTCTTTTAAATCATGTTGTTATGGAATTGTTTTAGTCACATCCGATTATTTGTGACCCCATTTGGGATTTTCTTGGCAAAGATGTTGGAATGGTTTGCCTTTTCCTTCTCCAGCTCATTTTACAGATGAGGAAACTGAGGTAAACGGGGTTAAGAGACTTGTCCAGGGTCACACAGCTAGTAGGTGTCTAAGGCCAGATTTGAACTCATGAAGATGAGTCTTCCTGATTCCAATTCTGGTGCTCTATCCACTGTACCATCTAGCTGACTTTTTAAATCGTCCAAAATGAATGCCAGCAATGGGAAGGTGTGTACATGGCAACTTTCTGAGTTTGCACACAGAAGGAAAAATGGGTATTTCACTGTTATCATATGACTTGCTTTCAGTTTGTAGGCATTGACTGAGGCTAGCAATGTCCTAGTGATCTCAACCAGGCCAGATCATCCCAGAGGATCCCTGAGAAAAGTGGGCTCATTTCTGTCTGAGATTTTGTTTTTCTGGCTGAGATTTGTTTTATTTTAATGTTCACAGCTGTAATGCACAGATATTGTTCAAGAGGGACCTGAGGACTTGGCATAGCCAGTCCTCAGTCAGTCAGTCGACAAGTATTGATTAAGTGCCTATGATATGCCAGACCCTGTGCTAAACTCTGGTGATACAAAGAAAGGCAAAAACAACCAGTCTTTGCTCTCCAGGAGCTCACAGTCACTGGATCTGTTGGTTGGCAATTTCTTTCCACTGCAAATCTTTGAAGCACTTAAAAAATTAGATTTTTGATTGAAGCCTCATATTTATTTAGCATGAGATAGATCCAAGCAGCTAATAATAATGGCACACATTTATTTAGCACTTTAAGGTTCACAGAGTGCTTCACTTGTATTACTTCATTACTTACATTCAAAACAACCCTGTAAGGTAGATGCTACTATTATTCCTATTTTCAGATGAGGAAACTGAGGCTGAGAGAGCTTGAATGACTGTCCCAGAGTCACATAGCTATGCAGCTGGCTTAGAACCCATATTTTCCTGACCCCAGATCCAGCACTTTTGTCACTGTTGGCAAGTTGTCTTGAATGGCATGCTCCTTTATTGTGATAATTAGATATTGGCACCTGACACGGTAGGAATTCTGGTGGTCTCAGCTTGGTGTTTGTTTGACTCTCTGGCCCAAAAACTGATTCAGAAGTTGTGATATTATCTCATGGGACTTTCCTGATGGGTAGACTGGGCACTTACCTCTTCTGGGGTATAGGAGCAGGGTAGATACTGCCTGTGTGTCCTGGAGTTACATCATGGGCTGGAGGATATGGACCTGTAGTACCAGAGCCTGCAGCACATGGGCCTGATTCAGTGCCTGGACCTCTGCTGTGAGACATTCCTTCCTCTAGTGCTAAGTAGAAGTAAACTCCTTTGTAGCCAGCAGTCCCATCCATATCTTTGACCTGAGGCAGTGCCCAGAGTCACACAGGTTAAGTGAACTCTATAGAAGACTGTTGTTTCCATAGGGTTTCCCTGATGAATGCAGCCTTTAATCTTGGACAGTTCAAGAGACAAACCTTGGAGGCTTTGAGGAACTTGACTTAATTAGGGCAAATCTCCCAGGGTTCACAGATCAGCCTTGTTCATCTAGGAGCCTTCAGCATCAGTGTCTGAAGGGAGAATCACATCTTCTGAGCAGATTTGGGGCTCAAACAAGGGTTGGATCTCCTGTGGATTCTTTTGAGGACATTCTTTCTCCTCATGAGGTAGTAATTGTTCTGGGGGAAATGAAAGGACGAGTTGAGCAACAGGGACCCTGACAATGGGTATTAAAACCAACATTTCTTCCTGGCTTAGTTTATACTTGAATTGCTTTTAGGTATGCCTTCCCTAGTAGGGTGGTATATAATTGACTCTGGGCTTATGTGGTTTTCATTATTAGTATTAGTAATAATAATGATGATAGTGGGTAGCATTTATATACCACTTTTTGATTTGCAAAATGCTTTACCTGTTGACTCATTTGACCTTCACAGCAACTCTGCGTAGTGTTATTGTTATTGAGTTGTTTCATCACATCTGACTCTTCATGACCCCTTTTTGGGGGGAGTTTCTTGACAAAGACGCTGCAGTGGTTTGCCATTTCCTTCTCCAGTTCATTTTACAGATAAAGAAACTGAGGCAAACAGGGTTAAGTGACTTGCCCAGGGTCACAGAGGACAGATTTGAACTCAGGTCTTCCTGACTTTAGCCCTGATACTCTACCCACTGTGCCACCTAGCTGCCCAAAGTAGGGCATTATCCTTATTTTACAGATAAGGAGACTGAGGCAGAGAGAAGTTAAATGATTTATCCAGGGTCACCCAGCTAGTGGGTATCTGAGGCAGGTTTTAAACTCATTCCTTCTTTACTCCAAGGCCTTTTGTTCTATCTACTGTTACATCTATTATAACTTTGCAGTGTCAGTTAAAATCAACTAAAACTTATTGACCATCTTCTTATGCTTGGCAGCGTGGAGTGTACAGTGAAGCCCAGGCCCAGCCACTGCCTTCATGAACCTCACAATCTACTTGGGGAGGTCCGATACTAACATATGGAAAGTTAAATAACAAGATTGAAATGACAGTATGAGGGGATGGTGGCAGAGATGTTAGAATATGTTATTAATTGCCACATGAATAGTACAGACCGATTATTATTGGGGTGAAAAGGAGAGATTTCATGCCAGTCTGCTTAAGGAAGGAGGAAGGATGACTCTTTTCTGACCTGTAGGACAGAGAATCAGGCTCATTATTCCAGCTGTGCTCATGCAGTAATAAAATTTTTGTCAACCTTCTGAACTTGCCATGGTATCCAGTTGAAATGCTCATCTGGTCCTTAAAGGATTATAAAATTTTAGAACTGGAAGGGATCTGAGATATCATCTAATCCAGCCCTGTCATTTAAAAGATAATGTGGTGAAAAGACTCTTTCAGCAACTCATAGCTGTGTAAGTGGTAGAGCTGAGATTTGAGCTTGGGTCCTCTGATTTAAAATCCAGGGCTCTTTCCACCACCCTTCATATTCATTTATTCAAATCTTATTTATCCTTTGAGGCCAAGCTCAAATCCATCTCCTTCCTAAAAGATTTGAATGAATGGGGGAAGAGGAGGGAAGCATTTTGAGTGGTTATAATCATGAGTAGAAGAAGGAGCATAGGTTGTGGTCCTGAGTAAACATAATGGGAGTATGGAACCCAATTCTTTAGGTCAGAAAAGACATTTGCATAAATTCACTGAAGAGATCCCTCCCTCAGTTTACAGTGGTTGGGGAATGAGAAGAAAATGGTGACTAGGCCCCCAGGCAAAGCTGAGCACAGCTCTGATGCCATGTTGCCCCGTCTGAGACAGAATGCTAGGTAGGGTGGCCCAGGGGGCCATTTTGTCCAGGTGCTGAGCTCCAAGAATGGTGGGGGTGGGGACTGGGATGACTAAGTGTCCTCTCAGGGACTTTTCCAAACCCATTTAGAAACCCCCAAACTATGTCCCCAGCAATTAGAGTGTGAACACCCTGAGAGCAGGCACTGTTTCACATTTTTCTTGGTAAGTCTAGTCTTTGGCATAGTGTTTGGTCCATAGTAATTGCTTAAATACTTTTTCATTCATTCATCCGTTCATTTGTTTATTCATTTACTCATTCTACCAATCTGTCTTCATTGTCTCTTTCTTATATCCTTGTCTCTCAGTGTTTCCATACTTGTCCCTGACCTTCTTCATCCTTTTTGCCCCTTAATCTTCCATTTACTCCTGGCAGGTATAGTAGACAGTAATACTAGGGGAGTTGTACATGGAAGTATGTTCATCCCTTTAGCTCCTGGGGTCAGAGGAGGGGAGGGAGGACGGGGGGAAAAACTATTTATTCTTTTCTTCAAGGCCCAGCTCAGATGCTACCTCCTTCCTGAAGTAAGGAAGGGAATAAGTATTTGTTAAGCACCTGCTATGTGTAGGCACTGTGCTAAACCCTTTTACAAATGTTATCTCATTTGATCCTCACCTTGTGAGGTAGGTGCTTTTATTATTCCAATTTTACAGTTGAGGAAACTGAAATAAACAGGTTAAGTGACTTGCCCAAGGTCACATAGTTAGGCAGCTAGGTGATGCAGTGAATAGAACTCTGGGCCTGGAATCAGGAAGACCTAGGTTTAAATCTGGCCTCAGACACTTACTAGCTCTGTGACTCTGATCAAGTCACTTAACCTCTGTTTGCCTCAATTTCCTAATCTGTAAAATGGGGCTAATAAGAGCACCTACCTCCCAGGGTTGCTGTGAAGAACAAATGAGATAATATTTGTAAAGCACTTAGCACAGTGCCTGGCATAGAGTAAGTTGCTGTTGTTATTATTATTATTGTTAAGTGTCTGAGGGCAGATTTGAACTCCTCTTCCTGACTCCTGGTATAGCATGGTCTCTTACTGTGCTACCTAGCTTTCCCTGATGCTATCCAACTAGGTATCCTTTCTTGAGCCTCTCTTGCTTCATTGGTTCTCTCCAAAGCCCTTGTAACTTAATTTAGTAATGTGTGTATTTATCTCATCCCTCTACTATATTAAAAGTTCCTTTGGGGCAGGAACTGCACCTTTGTATTCTACATGCCAAGGATAATTCTTTGTACATAGCAGGAGCTCAATTCTATTCAATTTAACATGTATGTATTGAGAGCCTACTATGTGCTAAGCACTATGTTAGGGGCTGGGATACAAAGAAAAAGAGGAAACAGTCTCCTACCTCAAGGAACTTATATGGGGAGTGGGGAGGGAGCAAAGGGGTAATGGCACAGATACACCATGTATCTATTGTCTTGAGTTGAGGAGGTGAGGGAGTGAAAATCAATACCTTTCCTCACCTGGGAAAACCTTGTTCCCTTAGACCTAGGGCTAGGAAAGAGGGAAAATCCCATGTTTTATGGGCTATGGAAATCCTGGAAGTGTAGGGTCTTTGTGGAGTTCTAAGCTTAATTACATTGCTTTAAGTCTGTAGTGCCTCCTGTGGGTATCAAGGTATTTTTCAAAGCACCTAAATAGAAAACTTCTGTGGAATGAATGTCTTGGCTAGATGGGTGTGGAAGTATAATCTCTCTTATGAGCTTTGGTTTTATTCCAGATGATAATGGCCTGAGTCCAGTCTGGGCGTCTACTCAGGAAAAAGTGACATTTGAAATTTATGACCCAAATCTTGCATTTCTACGTTTTGTTGTTTATGAGGAGGATATGTTCAGTGATCCCAACTTTCTGGCGCATGCTACTTATCCCATTAAAGGAATCAAATCAGGTAAAAGTCAGTTTGATTAAACAGCTAAATACAGGCTCTCATCAGACTTTTTATCTCACTTTGGGCATAGATCAGTATGTCTTTCTGTTATTTTGAATTTTGGCTTCAGAGACTCAAAGTAGAATTATTTTGCTTGCTGACTCCTGGGACCTTTTAACACCTCCTTCCTAGCAAGGAGCATAATTACAAGTCCTTGTATTAGGATATTCACCTCACCTCCTCACCCTACCACAAACCCTTTTCTAGGCTGAAAGCAAGTGGAATATATTGTGGGAAATTCTATAACTGGGTAATTGCTGGCCTGGCACCATTCATTCAACAATCATTTTTATTTTTATTTTGTTTTATTTTTAATTTGTGGAATAAAACAAGTATTTCCATAACATCATATAATAAATTTTGAACACATTTTAAAACATTTTTTAAACATTAACCAATCAGTTTTAAGTCTCTGCTATGTACCAGGCACTGGGATCAAAGACGAGCTTACCAGTCCCTGTCCTTAAGGAGTTTACATTCTTTTGGGATAGGGGAACAACAGATAAGGAAATGCCAAACATATTCAAAGGGGGAGGCCACTGGCAACTGGAAGGATAAAGGTGGGCCTTTTGTGGATTCTGCCTCAAAAGAAGCCAGAGATTCTACAAGTCAGAGGTGAGGAGGAAGTGTGTCCCAGGTATAACAGTGAGGGTAGGAAGGGAAGACAACCTATACACAGGCATTGAGATGGGAAATGGATGGCAGTAGGTCAACATGGAGTTCAGAAGGGAGAGTAATACGTAGTAAAGCCTGGAAAAGCTAGCAGAAGAAAGAATGTGAAAGGCTGTACATGCCAAACAATGCAGTTTGTCCTTTATCTAAGAAGCAGGAGGGAACCACTAGAACTTTTTGAGTGACATGTTCAGACCATCATAATTAGGTTTGTTTTACTGTAGAAAATTAAAGGCAGTTTTTTCTTTTTCCCCTTCACCTTCCTGGGCTAAGTTAGTTAATTAGATAGACAGCAGACAGACAGACAGACAGACAGATAGATAGATAGGTAGTTAAACTCTATTTTGATCCTCTTTTTCAACTGTGTTTGCTAAACTCTGCTGACATTCAGTTCAGGGACCACTCCAACACAAGAACCCTTTCATAATTTACCCAGGTTTTAGTGCAGTCATCTTCCCACTCAATTCTTTTGTGTTTATATTTTACACATTTTGTGTTTACCCTTGAGATATATGTTATATTTACCCAATAGAATGTAATCTCCTTGAAAGCAGGGAATATTTCTTTTTTATCCTTATATCCCCAGTGCCTTGGCATATAATAAATATATATTGAGTGTTGAATGAATGTCTGGTGTCAATGGGCCATGTGGAGCAAGCTACGTCAACAGACAACTTAGGCTTAGATGTAATATAGGAATTCTTTGTGAGGATGGTATCCTATTGCCCTCCCTCTGCCTACTGTCCATTCAAGGGAAAAACCATAGACTGACTTTATGCTACTCTTTGCCTCCACAAAGACTGGAATCATATCTCTGAATGTTATTGGAGACTCCTGGCACAGCAGAGGTTTGGTTTGGATCCTGGTTCCTATGTATTTTTCATGTAATAAAGCTCCAGTGTTGTCTAAACTTCTGCTTCCTTAAATAAATAAATCTCATGGATTCAAATTCAAATTCAAACCTTTTAGGGAATTTCTCTTAAATTAGACATAGGCTTGATGAAGGTTTTCCTACTGGACTATCTGTGAAAAGAATTTCCTAAGCAAATTAATGGTATAAGCAACATTTCATGGTCAATGCTTAGGCTTTTTGCTCTTTTTTTCAACACTTTAGAAGTATCTGTTTATTTATATTCTAATTAAAAATCACTTCATTGTCCATGAGTAGGGAGAGTCCCAAAGAAACTCTACTTGGCAACAACCCTTGGTTAGCTTCAGTCATCTGACTGTATGTACTTGAAAGTAATAAAATGGCATTTAAAACAATTCCTGTAATTGAAACATTTTTCTGATCCAGATTGGCCTTCTCCCCAGTTAGTCCAAATCAATGAGGCTTGACTTTGGAAGCACTTTTCATTTCCCTTTTAGCAACAATATGTACTGTAGTCTTTCTTGCCAGGACATCTGTGCCAGAAGCAGATTCCTCTTTTGTGTGACAATGCCTCTCATTGGCTAGATGCCTTTACACAGGATTACTGTAGACTCGACCAACTGCATTTATTTCATTTCTTCTAAAAAGCAGGCCATGCCTCCTCACCTTTAACATAATGGCTCAGTGGCCAAGAGGAACTTGAAGATTGAAGTATTTACGCAAAATAGTCCCTACCTGTGCTATTTTTAATGAAAAGTTGTTGCTTGTAAATTTCATGCATGTTGGCCCATCGTTATTTTTCGTTATTGAATGTTTCCATTTTGGCCTTTTGGCTAAAGTAAGACAAGACTCTCAAGAGAATTCAGAAGTGAGTCATCAAAATTATTTCAGGGTTGAAGATGAAGACCAGTGAGGAAAGGTTAATATCAGAACTTAGATTACTTTACTTGGAGATAATAACTCTGGAGGAATAGCCCTTTTCGTCTCCTCTGCTTTGAATGGAATGTACTAAGTCATTTAATAGCTGCCGCCTTCTGGACTTCAGAGTAATCTGGGCCACATGTCATCAGGGGTATGTCCAGGCTCTTTCATGGTCAAATTTCAGGAGCATCCTCCCTATTTCCCACAATTCCAGAAATAGAGATGCTGTCATTGTATTAAAAGCATTTGAAAAATTCTCTTGCATGGGGCAGTTACCTAGTTGTCACTCATTCTTGGTCTCTAAGCATGAGGGGAAATAAGTTTGAATGTAGAATCCCAAGACCTAGACTTTTGTATAGCAACTTTAAGAATCATCTAGCCCAAGCTACTTATTTTACGAACGAGGAAACTAAAGCCAAAAGAGGCTAAAGGATTTGCTCAGAGACAGGTACCAGAACTGGGATTCAAACCCAGTTCCTCTGACTCCAAATCTAGTGTTCTTTCCTCTAAAGCATTTACATTTTAAATTATTTTCATTATGACCTTAAGTTCTGCCCCCCACCCCAGTACTTCCATATACACAGCAAAACACAAAAAGAGGATTCTGTATGAAAATGTGAGTCTCCATTTCTCTTTGCTTGCTTTGGGGAAAAAAGAATGTAGTAAAGTCTACAGGTTATTTTCAGAACTGTCCTGCTTATCTATACTTCCTTCTAATTTCCTTCTGTTCTCTTCTGTGCATTTAAAAAATTTTCAATGGTTCTTTTTTTGGGTGTCACTATTAATAACATTTTCTCTCGTCCTGATTCTCCTCCAATTAAAAACTAAGAGGAAAAAAAAGGAAAGAAAAACCCTTGTAACCAATTAGCATGGTGAAGCAAAAACAAATCCACACACTGGCAAACAAAAATGTTATGTTTTTGCATCTTGTTTCCATCACTTCTTTGTCAGGATAACGTGCTTATTGTAAGTCCTCTGGAGACATAGTTGGCCACTGCTTTGATCAGAGTTAAATCTTTTAACTTTTTGGGAAGAGGCAATCTAGGTTAAGTAACTAGTAAGTATCTGAGGCCAGATTTGCACTCTGGTCCTGACTCCAGGGCTAGTGTTCTATCCACTTCACCACCTAGCTGCCCCAACTTTTTTTTTAAAGTGTTGCTGCTATCCATGTATAAATTGTTTTCCTGGTTCTTCTCATTTCACTGAGGATCATTTCAAATCACCCAGGATTCTCTGAAATAATTTCTTTTGTAGTTTCTTAAGACACAATAATATTCCACTATATTCACATACCACAATTTGTTTAGTCAAATCCCAGTTGTGTAAGAAACAATGTTAGACATCCCTTTAGATTCCATTTTCCTCCTCTTTTTGCTCCCTTCAAGATTAGGAAGTTCATTTTGCTTCCAACATTATCCTCTCTCTTAATGCCTCCCCCTACCTCAAATACCTACTTCTTTCCCTTTTGAATTTGATATATTTCTATACCAAATGGTGTCTTTGTGTATGTGTATGTATGTGTGTTTTCATCCCTTCTTTGTCTATTCAGATAAAACTGAAGTTCATCTGATACCCACTCCTCCACTCCTTCCTCTGTGTTTGTTTATTCTTCTCACATACCCAGTTATGAGAATTGGCAAGTTCTACTCCATTCCTCATTTCTATACTAGTGTATTCTTTTACTCTCCCTTCTATTTTTTTCAGATCAGAAATAATCCACCTCCAGGAATTATTTTACTTATTTATTTTCTTATTTCTTATATTATTTTTATTATTTCTTTCCACTACCTTATACGAAACAGAATTTTGAGTGGGAAAAGATTTAGCTTGAACACAAGAAGATTTTTGACAAGCTTGGTCAGCTGTGGTATGACTTGCCTAGGAAAGCTGTAAATTCCCTTCCATGGGAATCTTTAAAAATAAGAGAGAAACTCCCTTGTCCTTTGGGATATATGAGTCCTGCCTAAGGCTGGGTCTTTTACTATCTCTTTAAACCTGCTGACAGCAGCAGTGTGGATGGGACTAAAAAAAAAAAGAAAGAAAAAAACACCTCTACTGTTCTTTATAACTGAATTTGTAATATTCCATAACTGTTACATTCTTTTTTTCCTTTTTAGTTCATAGTTTTTAGTCTTTCAGTTACCTGATATTTCCCCATCCTTCTGCTATGCCAGGATGCCAACAAAGGCACATTTCCCCAGCCTTTATTCCTTGAAGTATCATGGTAGCAGAAATGGCGTTTGAACTGAATCTGTTGTATTTTAAAAAAGGCCAGAAGGCTTCTCATGCAGGGACCACACCGAGGGCACTGAATCCTTAGCTCTTGGAGATAGATAACCATGTGTGAACTCTTGAGTGTCCTCCAGAGCAAAAGTTCTTAACTTCCATGTTCTTTTGTGTTTGTTTTATTCTCGTACCCCAGGGTTTAGAGCAGTTCCTCTTAAAAACGGTTACAGTGAAGATATTGAGTTGGCCTCCCTTCTGGTTTTCTGTGAGATGCGTCCTGTCTTGGTGAGTATCATGAAAGCAATGATGGTCCCATTTGGTTCTTTCTCAGTGAGTGGTTCAGAACTTGTCAGCAGAATGACTCGGGCTCTTTGCTCCACTCCACTATCCTTTAGTAAGGTTCATTGGTCAGGGAATTCAAGCACTGAATGAAGAGTTTGTCTTCCTAAAAAAACAACAAAACTGGATGCCTTCAGCTCTAGGTTCATTGACAGGTCCTTGGACTTCTTCCTTTTTTCAGCCTTCTTAGTTAGTGTGTTCTACTAGGAGTCTGGTAGTAGGAGAAAAAAAAAAACACTGAAAGGCTACGGATCGTACTTTCATCTTGGATTTCTCCCAAGAGTCTTTAAAGATGAGCAATTTGGACTGCTATGTGATTGCTGCCATCCCTTCCAATTCAGCTGGCTACTGCGACTGGTTAATATTACAACATGATGTCATATGTAAAGCTTTTTGTAAACTGCAAAGTGCTATGTGTCAGCTATTACAGAAACACTTCATATATTTGCAGATTACACGGGCAACCTCAACTATCTAGATCATTAATGTCAAATTAAAATAGAAACGGGCCACTAAACTAGATAAAGATCCTTGTGGGCCACATGTTGACTTGGTTTTAAAATGCAATATTACCGATGTTTTATTGTATTTTTATTTATTCTGTTAAATATTTCCCAATTACATTTTAACCTGGTTCAAGCTGCACTCCAGAGTACATAAGGCTTATAGGCCGCATATCTAACACTTCTGATCTAGAACATAGCCAAGAACAGGGGAGGATGTTTAAAAAAAAAGCCTTTGAGCAGTTAGACAAGTTGTCACAGTCTATTCCAGGACTTTTTTCTTTAATTTTTTTAAATTATTTTTTAGGCAATTGGCGGTTAAGTGACTTGCCCAGGGTCACACAGCTACTAAGTGTTAAGTGTTAAGTGTTTGATCTGAGGCCGGATTTGAACTCAGGTCCTCCTGACTTCAGGGTCAGTGTTCTATCCACTGTGTCACCTACCTGCCCCTTATTCCAGGACTTCTTAACCTGGGAATTTGTTTTTAAAAAAAGAAACAATTAATAAGCTGTATTTCAACATGACTGGTTTCTTTTGTAATCCTGTGTATTTTATGCATTTAAAAAAATTATTCTGAGAAGGGAAACATAGGCTTTACCGGAAAGCCAGAAGTCCATGATACCCAAAAGGTTAGAAACCCCTGGTCTATGCCCTAAACTCAGAGCCTATTTATTTTTACTTTAAACATAATTCTGACAAGCTTTGTTACCAGGCTTTCTGGGTCAAAGAAGATTAGAAGTAACAAATTAGATTGTGGGAGAGGTGAGGGTGGTTATAAGAGAAGGCACTGACTGGGTTAAAGAAAAAAAAAGATAGTAAAATCAGAAACAAGAACTGAAAAATCTCAGCAACCTGGAACTGTTCAGTGAGGAGGAATGAGGGTGGGAGTAGCCTTGCATACCTCATCAAAATAAGGGCCTCTTATTACGTAAACTGAGGACAATAACTAATATTCGTAATGATGACCCCTAATGAGTCATCAGGAAACGTTTATGTTTTAGCATTCTTTGTTTAAGGTGACAGAAGATAGTGTAATGGAATTATTTCCATTTAGTTTTTAAAAAACAAAACACAGTAGTCCATACTTAAAGGTGTATGCTTCAATTATGTGGTAAATAAACTTATATAGAGCATTTCTCACAGTGACAGATTGAGTGTTACTGTACTATGATTATGGCTGGGATTCCCTTGCTAACTTTGTAGTGGGGCTCAGCAGGAAAAGAAGGAGAAGGGAGGGCATTCCAGGCTAAGGAAACAGCACGAGCAAAACCAGAGAGGAAGGAAAGTACCATATTTCACCGCATAATCATCGCAGATTTTATGCCAAATTTTTTGCAAAAAAGTGAGGAGGGACCGTTATGTGAAGCTTTTTTTTTTTTAATTGTGCCGGTATTACTTAAAAATCATTTATTACTGAACTGTATCATTGGCAAACTACACAGTTTAACTAGTGTTGGAAGATGCCATGTCTTATCATATCATGTGGCTTACTCATGGCAGCTTCTCTTGCCCAGCAGCTTCTCTTGCCCGCCAGTTCCCCTTTCGCCTATACAGGGGACAATGTTGAGGGACGATACCGTTAGTACTGCACCACTCTAAACCAAACAAGTCGGCTTTCAGAAATATACTAACAATGTGCATGTGCTGAGAATTCTAGGCTCGAAGCTCGCAATGTGTTAGAGATAAATTCGTATCCATATGCCACTGGTGAGTACATTGCTGTTCTTGTTTACTTTTTAAGCCACATGAAGAGCAGAATTATGCCATGTGACAATTATGTAATGAAAGGTTACAAACCATTTTTAGACTGAAAAAAAAAACCAGGGTCAATGATTATACGGTGAAATATGGTAGAAGGTGTATAGGTTGGGCAGAGAGTGAATGGGCTGTCTGCTTTGAGTGGGGCAATAGAATCAGGACATGGGAGGAGAGTGTTTTGAAATATGGCTGGAAAGGTCAGGGGTGAAACAAAATTGTGAAGGGCCTTGAGTGCTGGTTGATTGAGGACTTGGCTATGTGAGATTACCATAGTTACTAGGAAAAATTCTAAGCAATTTAAATAATGAGGTATCAATCAGTCAGCAAGCATTTACCAAGTACTTGCTATGTGCCAGGCCTGGTGTTTGGTATTGAGGACACAAAATAGTCTTCTCCCTCAAGAGTAAACAACATGTCCCATATAAGTGAATATGAGACATGTGCTAAGTAAATACAGAACAAGGTAATTTCAGGGTGGAGAAGGCACTAGCAGTTGGGGGAATCAGGAAAGTCCTCAGGTAGAAGGTGGCACTTGGGCTAAATTCTGAAGGAAGTGAAGGATTCTAAGAGGCAAAGGTGAGGAATGAATGCATTCCAGGAATGGGCAAAAGCCTGAATAAGGCAGAGAGATGACAGATGGAATATTATGGATAGGGAACAGCAAGGAGGCCAATTGAGCTGATATATAGAGTTGGTGAAGAAGAAGAATGTGAAATAAGCCTGGAAAAGTAGGCTGGAGTCACATTGTACAGGCTTTAAATGCCCATCCAGTACTGTAGGTGGCAGAAAAGATAAAAATATTTAGGAGAAAACTAATTACTTCTTGATGAGGGAGGCTAAGAACCTTGGATAGTGTTACTAATGGAGTATCAGCTTGGCTGGGTTAGTGTGGTTGCTAAAGACTTGCTAATATGGTCTTAAGCTACAGTATAGTACATGGATCAAACATAGGACCTTCTTTCCATCTTCTGTGTATTCAGATCTGGGCAGTATGTTTTAATAAGGACATTGGCAAACTGGAGCAATCCCAGAAGAATCTTCACCTAACAATTAATAGTTGATATAATGTTAATGATTTAAAAAACTTATCCTTTATAACCAAAAAAGGTCTATTGAATTCAAGTTATATATGCTGAGTAATCAAATAACTGAGTAGACAATATTCAGACACAGACAGATATGGATCTGGCATTAATCAATGTACTGTGCTACCCAACGAAAGCCTTCCCCATAGCCTTGTCTCTTTAGCACACCAGGAGGTGGAGAGGCACTGAAATCCATATCTTATGAAGAAAGTTAAAGTTGTTTAAGCTACAGAAAAGAGATGATAACTGTCTTAAGATATTTGAAGGGATCTAATTTGAAATAGATCAGTAGAGGCAGAATGGGTCTTAGAGATCATCTTGTCTAAGTCATCATTTTATAGATGAAGGAACTGAGGTGTGAGAGGTTGTAGTGACTTTCCCACAGTCACATAGCTAGTTGGTAGGAGAGTCAGAATAAGATCCTGTGTCTTCTGATGCCTAGTCCAGGGGACTTAAAGAGCTTAATAACAAATACAATTATATGTTCACAAAAATTATGGTTTCATAATAACAATGACAGCTGACATATGATACTTTAAGGTTTAAATGTTTTACGTGTATTATCTCATTTGGTTCTCACTCTAAGCCTGTGAGGTAAATACTATAGGTTTTAAGGACAAGGAAGGTGATGCTCATGGAGCTTAAATGACTTTCCCCTGGCCACATAGCAAATGTCAGAGGTGGGATTTGAACTTGAGTTTCTTGACTCCAAGTCAAGTGTTTGGTTATATCATGCTACCTCCATGACATTTTATTATGGAGGGTACCTCTATAATATTCTTAGTCACTGTTAGAATGAACTCTTTCTGCAACATTGAAGGACAAAGAGTCTTAATTTTCTCTTCTCTTCCTTGCTGTCTCAGATATAGTTCTCTCCCCCTCCCCTTTCTGGATTTTACTTATAATGTGAAAGATTAAGATTGTTCTGCTCTACATTTCCAGTGCTGAGTAGTGTTGAATAAACACTCCTGCTTTCTTTTAAACAGTCTTGTGTTTTGAGATTATATGAGTGATAATAATAATAATATTAACTAGCATTTATGTAGTCCTTTAAGGTTTGCAAAGTGTTTTTTTATAAGTAACTCTTTTCATTCCCACAACAATCCCAAGAGACATGTGCTATTATTATCCCTATTTTGCAGGTGAGGACACTTGAGGAAGACAGAGGTTAAGTGATGTGACCTAAATGTCTGAGATGGGATTTGAATTCAGGTCTTCCAGTCTTTCAGGTTCAATGCTCTATCCACTGAACCTTCTGGTGGTCTAGTATTAAAGAAATTGTATTACATTTCTATCTTGTGCAATGTACCTCACTGGATTTAACACCTCTGTCCCTGTTACCTAGTTGGGATGATGGGTGCTTAAAAAGGAGCATTTATCTAGCTAACTAAATACAGTGCATACATGTGTTTTCTAGCTCTGTTGATAGGTAAATTGTTGAAAGGGCCCAATCTTTAGTTTCTTGGGAGTTAAAGGAGAATATTTTACCAGAGTCATGTGTCTTTATATTGTACCTTATTTATTCAGACACTCTTGACTTGGGATTAATAATAACCTGCACAGTGGCTGGGCTAAGGTTTACCTTTGTGTAGCACCTATAAAGAAACATTTCTTAAACAGATTAATTATGTGATAACCTGATGATGTTTAAACTGCTAAAGAGAACAAATAGTTTTAAAAGTACTTTATAAGCTCTTATTTACCTATGATTTACATAATGAGAATTAATTATATTATAATGGGCCATTTCAGCAATGTACTAAAAAACAGAAACCTGATTAGCCCCTTTCTAAGTCATTGCACATAAATTATGGTTGTTTAAAAACCACCAGCAATTTAGCCTTGTCATAAATTCATATTGCCTGGGTCCCCAAATGATCCGAATTGAAGTTTTTTAATAAAATGTATTTTATGAAATGATTCAATCCCCTTGTTGGCCATTTTGATTAGAAAGTAGAGGTTCAGAAATAGACCCTCTGTGATCTTCATTGGAAATAACCCTGGTCTGCAAGTGAGGAAGACTTGGATTCTAGATCTGGTCTGCTGCTACACAGTTGGGAGATCTTAGACAAATCAGCTTTCCCTTTCTTAGCCTTAGCTTTCCTCTTTAAAATGAAGGTGTGGGACTAGTTGATTTCCAAGATCCATTCCAGTTATGATATTCAATAGATGACTATAAGCCTGCATCTTCAGTGTCTGCTGGTCTTCACCTTACTTTTCAGGAAAGTGAAGAAGAACTCTATTCTTCCTGTCGCCAGCTTCGAAGGCGACAAGAGGAGCTGAATAACCAACTCTTCCTGTATGACAGTCATCAGAACTTACGTAATGCCAACAGAGATGCCCTGATGAATGAATTCAATGTCAATGAAAATCAGTTGCAGCTGTATCAGGAAAAATGTAACCGGAGGTAAGACAGCACTGACTTCCCACTACCAGCTTGAAGGATTCAGTTATACTGGGGATGTGAGGCCCTTGAAGGTAAGGGAAGATGCTTATAGTTCTATCTGCACAGGCATTTCTGGAAGTCCTTTTGTCTCTGCCCCTGGCCTCAGCTCATCTGTCCCTTATAAACAGACTTCCAGAAATACTTTTTGTTCACAACTTTTCTAAGTATAAACATCACCTCCAGAGGGAAAGTTAGGCTGTAATGAACAATATAACTTCCTATTTGGTGATGAGTATTTCACAATTCAATTTGTGTCTCTGTTACCTCACTACACAGATTTTTAAGTCTGATTTCTGACTTTGGTTTATTTTCTTTAAGATTAAGGGAGAAGAGAGTCAGTAACAGCAAATTCTACTCCTAGAACAAGCTTGCAGTTTGGGGACTTTGTATATGTGTGTGTGTGCAAGAGACATAATCAGAGAGTACTTTACTAAGATCTTCAGAAGATGCAAATCTGTGAAGTCATCATTCCCAAAGAGCTGTCTGTCATCGGGATGACTTCTCTTAAGAAGAACCAAGCAGGATTCACCATGATGACTTTCTGTTCTCTCTCCTCCATTTGATATCTTTTTTTTTTAACTTATATTGTGTACAAATTATACATAAGATAACTGGCTTGTTTTCTGTGACCAGTACCACAGTCCTCCCTGAATAAAGGCAAGCAAAAGCTCCATAAGTTAGCCTTCTGTATTTGCTGAGCAAGGATGGCTTCTCTGAGAAAACACCTCGATTTTCATTGAACCAGGTAATTGATGACTTTGGTGGAAGATGAGCAAGAATCATTTTGTGGCTAACTTGCTAGGTGTTGAGGATTTTTATTTGAAAAGAAACACCATTTTTCCTTACCTCATGTATGTCCATTTGCATGAGGAGAGCAGAGAAGGAAGTTTTCCCTCTTGTCTCACTCTGTCAGTGGTCTCAGCCTTCTTGCAACAGCTGCTACTCCTGTTAGTCATCCTGCCCTTATCATATGTCAATAGACATTTAACATGGCAGCTTGGGATAATTATTGATTTATTGAATCACTTTACATGTGAATACAAGTTTTACATGCTTTTAATATTAGAGACTGGACTTCTGACAATCTAAATTGTCAGGGAAATTTTGAAGTCTCTCTTTTTAAAAGTGATTGTTGACTGACAAGATGATCAAACAAATTAATGCTTCCCTTTAAGGCTTGGACCTCTAGGGAAGCATGATTTTCAAGTTATTTGTGTGTCAATAGTTTTATAGCCCTCTGAGCTTCAAGGCCAAGAGCATGCCTGGTGATGGAACACAAGGCCAGCTGAGCTGTAGGATACAGCATGTTGTAGATCTTTGTCTTTGCTTGAAGGCAGTGGCCTATGATGGGCTCTTCCTTGCATAAGAAGCTAAATCACAGCTAAAGTCTTCAATATGATTATTTTCTGGTTCTTTGGCTTGTTTCAAGAGATAATTATTTAGGAAATGGTTATTTCTTGAGAGCATTCCTTACCAAACTTTTTGAACATTTGTTGAGTAACATGAGCAAGGTGAGAAGACAGGAGAGGCACATGAAAACATTACAGAAATCTAAAAAGAGAGAAGAATCCTGTGTGCTTCCTTATAAAACTCACATTGGAAAAGTTTGGTCCATAGTCGTTGCAGATTTTTGTGCTGAGAGAAATTCATGATTAACCCCTTTTAATATTCTTTGGGATTTCAAAATATATATATATTTGATTCATACTCTGGCCAATGTTTAACCTTACTCTTTATTGTGATTTTATTGGCATAGGGAACTCTCTGGTGTGGAAACCTCCCTTCACTAATGCAAATTAGTGAAATTGTCTGAAATTTATAGTCTTAGGGAGTTGCCATAGGACTTGGATGTTGAGTGACTTGTTCAGGATTAAACAGTCAGTATGTGTAAGAGGTAGGACCTGTCCTAGGTCTTCCTGACTCTAAGGCTGGTCTTCTATACTTTATACAATGCTGCCTCTCAGCCCTACCCTGGTGCATTTTGAATATTTCCTCTTAAACTGTGCAAATGATAATTTGTAATAAGCTATTTTAGGAAAGGATGATGGTGGGGAATTCTCATAGTCAGGACTTATTGGTAAGTTGCCATTGAGTGAATTGAGCACCGACTTAGAAGAAAAGGGTTTTTTTTTTTAATCACCCAGCCTATTTTACTGCTACCAAGAATTGTCATGAAATGGGTCTGAGAAGGAGGAACACAGCAATGAGCACACAAGTATAACTATTAGTCACGGACATCTGTGGAACTAGGGGTGCAGATAGGGAAGAACAGCTTCTTCTTCCTTTAAGCAGAGAACTGTTTGTACGATGTGCTTTTGAAAGCACAGGCTTACATTATGGTAAAACTGTTAAACACAACCAACTGCTTAAGGACCCCCCTCTCCCTGATTCAGTGCTTCTTTTAAAGAGTTGTAACCCAATTTTTTCTAAAACTATGAACTTTCAGATTTATCCAGTGGAAGTCAGTTTGAATGGATTTATGTGGCTTAATTATTTGTTGAACATTCACTGGGGTAGGGGAGGGTGGTTAATGAAGTAAATATATTTAGTTCTACAGATTACTGAGCAAAGACTATTCCATATGGTCCAAAAAGCTTTCACAACTAGCCTAAAAGGATAGCCCTGGCACAAATGTTGCTGTGAAGCATCATTTAGGAACTGCTCCCAACTCTCTGTTATCCCCATCACAGTTTGTATGTGTCAAATCTTGCCTTTTCCTTCCCTTGTCACATTTTCTTCTCAGCTTAATTACTCCTTGGTTGGTGACACCACCTTTTTTTTTCCCCTCCAGCCTGGCAGTAGATGGAAGGTTTAGGTATAGACTTTTGAACCAAACCACTGAATTACTCCCTTCTCCCAGGACAGCACCTAGGCTCCAAAGGCTCCGCTTAATCTAGTTCTTTGCATCAATCTACATGAGTCTGAATGCTGTTCAGTCCTAGCACAGATAGCAAAGGAGCCCAAGCCCAGGTCCTCCTGAATGAGATATTTGCAGCTATTATTTTGAAATTCTATGAATTTCAGAACCAATACACACACACACACACACACAAACATGACTGGCATGTTTTTGTGATGCTCAATTTTTGAAGGGCACCAGGAAGACTCAGCTACCCCATATTATTTTACCCACCCAGGTTTTATCGCCCCAAATTCCACCATTAAAGATTTATCCCTTTGGGTCCTTATTTCTGTGATTCCTTAAAAAAACTACCTGGAAAGGTACCATATTACTTTTATTCACATTGATTTATTAGTAACTAATCAGGTTATTTTTCTCTGGAAAAAGGTAGTTGGGAAGATGGTGGACTCACAATTTTTTTCAGAGCTAGCCTTGCATCTTTATTAAAATATAAGGATAAAAACAATGATTTTGCATTATCCAGATAGTTCTTGGTTCCAGTGAATACTAATAATTAACAATATGTTTTAGTGCCATAGTTGAGAGAATGGCTCCAGTATCATACCCCTGTAAAGATAAGAATGCGTGTACACACACACACACACACACACACACACACACACACACACTCACACACACACAGGCACCCCTATGGCAATTCTAAAGGATTCAGACAAATCAAATTAATCCCTTGCACAAAAATTCTTTCTGGCATGGAGAGGCAATGTCTCAATGGCATCTAAGGGAGCTTCTTAATCTTGAACCATAAAATAGAGAGAGAATGCTTTCATCTTTACTTCATATCTGTCTTGAGATCCCTGAAATCATATTTTGATCAACAAGAATGGATAATTAGATTTAGAGCAGACAGAATTTCTGAAGAATTTGAACATCCAGACATTTGTTAGATGATTCATTGAGGTTTGGCTCAAGATTTCTTCTTTTAGAGATTATGCCCTGTTTGCTAGATTTCACTGCTGCCTTGTTTTCAACACCCAGAAATCTGTCTAGGATTTTGAAGAGAAATCCCATTGTGCCTGCTTTTCTTTAGACTTTGAGCTGCTGCATTTGTAAACTTGTGTGTTTTATTATTGAAGCTTAATTTATTTTTATATAAATATCACGTGCCTATGTGTATATAGCAAAGACTATGTGGATATTTCCCTGACAGTGGGCTGATAGTAATGCTGTGATGGATTAAATTGCTCAATTGGATTTTAAGAAAAGTTTGGTGTGATGATTAATACTGATCTAGATTTTCCTGATGCTTAGTTTTATTTTGAGAGAGAATGAAACTAAAGGTGAAAGATTTCAAAAGGGAAATGGTAATGGTCATTTTCTTAAAAACCTCTAATATCCCATGTAGTATTCATAGCCTGTTACTATAGGACTCCTCTACTATAGAAAAGTAATATATGAAAACCCAGGATGTACAAAGCATAAAGCTAGAAGATGGTTCTTCACTTTAGCAATGGTTTCTTTGCCTTTAAATAGTGAGCTCCTCCAGTGTGCTTCAATAGTCAATCAATCAACCAATATTCAGGAATGCCATCTTACTATAGCAAGGGACCCACATGTACTGATAACATATTAGAACCAAACATTTCTTTAGTGTTTATTATGTGCCAGGAATATAATATGTTAAGTATTAGGGATATAGGGAAAACAAAAATAGTCTCTGATCTCAAGGAGCTAACATTCCAATGGGGGAGACAACATATATATATATAAATCAGCACATAAAATGATAATTACAGAATATGGAAGGTAGCCCAAGAGGGAAAGTCACTATTGGGGTGGTGGTGAAAACAGGAAAGGAACACAAAGCACTTGAGCTGACTCTTGAAGGAGGCTGGGGATTGACATAAGTTAGGAGGGAGAGCATTCCAGGGATGGGAGACAGTTCATGCAAAAGCATGTTAACAAAAAACAAAGCATGTGTGAGAACAGCAAGTAAACTAGTGGGCTTAGATCACAGAGATCATAGAATGTGGGAAAATGAGTAATGTATATGGAGGCTGTAAATATGGGAAGGAACTGGGTTGTAAAGAGCTTTAAATACTTAACAGAGGAGTCTGTGTTTGATCCTTTAGGTAATATGGAGCCATTGGAGTTTGCTGGGTAGGGAGGTAGTATAATCAGGACTATGCCTTAAGAAAATCCCCTTGGTATCTGAGTGGAGGATGGACTGGAGTGAGGAGAGACTTGAGGTAGGAAGTCCAATTAGAAGGCTATAGAAATAGTCCAGGTGAGAAGTGATGAGGCTTGAACTATGGTGGGTGACTGTGTGAATGGAGAGGAGGTGATAATGTATCTAAGGTAATGTTGGTTCGTCATTTTTCAGTTGAGTCTGACTTTGTGACCCCATTGAGGGTTTTCTTGGCAAAGGTACTGGAGTGGTTTGCCATTTCCTTTTCCTGCTCATTTTACAGATGAGGAAACCAAGGCATACAGGATTAAGTGATTTGCCCAGGGTCACACAGCTAAGTGTCTGAGGCCAGATTTGAACTCGGGAAGATACATCTTCCTGACTCCAGGTCTACCAGTCTATCCACTGTGCCACCTAGCTGGCCCATCTAAGATGCAGCAGAAAGATAAATAAGATTTGGTGACTGATTGGGTAGAATGGGTTCGTGAGAGATAAGTTCTGTTTTGGACATGTTCAGTTTGAGATGTCTAGAGGATATCCAGGTCAAAATGTTTAATAGACTTTGGCGATGGGAGACCAGAGCTCAAGCAAGAGACCAGAGCTGGATATGTAGATCTGGGAATATTCTGTATGGGGGAGGGAAGGAGGGAATAAGTTCTTAAATTACACCTATGAAATACACCTACTATGTTTTAGGCATTGTTCTAAACACTTTACAAAAGATATCTCATTTAATCCACAAAATCCTGTAAGGTAGGTGCTGTTATTATCTCCATTTTACAGGTAGACCCTGGTAGACCATTTTGAGGTAGACCCTGAGGTTAAGTGACTTGCCCAGGGTCACACAGATAGTATCTGATGTCACATCTGAACTCAGGATTTTTTAATTCTAGGCCCAGGATTCTATGTACTGTCACCCCACTGCCTCAGAGAGGCAGAGGTATGTATAGAGATGAATTTTATTTATTGAGATCATCAAGTGAGAAAGTAAGGCAATATGACCCTTGTCCCAAGGCCTATTGCTATGGGACTCTCTCCTTAGTGGTGGAGATGAATGTCTTGCTGTATGTGAGGGGCTGGGTGGAGTTTTCACCAATCACCCTAGAATCCTGTCTGGGGAGTCATCAAGATTTGAGTCGTCTTCATGATGCTGAGTTACTTTGGGTGCTCCTGGCTTTCATCATTGAGAGAGAAGATGGAAGAGGCCAACTCCACTTCAGGTTGCTGAAGGAAAAGACTTTGGGAAGACATGAGAGGAAATGGCAGTCTTCATCATGTTCTTTTTCTCATCTTGATAACTCTAGAGACTTTGGAGAATACTAGTATTCTCTCTCTCGCTTGAGCTGAGTTACCTCGATCCCAATAGGAGAGTTCCTTCACTCTGTATTGTTTAGTATGTATTCTCTTATGTATACCTTCTCTGATTTCTGTTTTGCTTTGTTTTGGATAAATGAACTTCTTTGCTATTTGCTATGTGTTCACTGTGGAAATGGTGTTAGGTTGGAAA